GTCTGACACATATTCCTGCAAGGTATTCTTTAATTGCCGATTTCTTCTCTTGAATTGTTTGCAGTAAACTTGAATAACTTTTTTCGAGATCAATTGCCCTAACACCAAACTGATATTTTTGCACTCGACGCGCGTTTCTCCAACAAAGTAAGCTTCCTCAGGAGAAGAAAATTGGTACCTAGTCTAGTCTGGTTAATTCTCCTTGAAGCGGGTTTTGATCGCTCGTCGTCTCTGGCCGATGTATTTACTGTTGCAATCTTGACAACTGATTTCGTAAATCCCCGACCTTTTTGTGTTTTCTAGTCTATCTTTTGGATCACCAAGAAGCTGTTGCAATTTATAGGAAGTTTTATATGCAACTTTCATATTTACTTTATCGAATATCTGTTGAAGCCCTCGCCAGTGAGTCACTATTGTGACTCACTGGCGCCACCTTTATGTCTGTTCAAATTATTTTGAATTGTCATCGAAGAATCACGAAATTTCTTTCATGTGCTTTTTAATCCGGGTGAACTCATTTTTCAATGCAACGTTTCATTCATTGAATTCCATCATCAATATATGTTTTTTAAATACGGACCTGTATATTGTTTTATACATTTTCGTAGTCATTTTAGCCACAAATTCGTTGATATATCACAACATCTATATTTCCTTCCCGAAACCACATCATCACTATCATTTTTTATTAAAAGCTAGAATTTCCGAATATTACTGAAATCCCGAGTTCTCCTGTCTATCCAAATTATTTCATTAGGATTATAAATATTTGTATTCACTGAAATCCAACTAAATTTCTTTCTTTTTCTTTCTGTCTTTTTTTCAATGTGATGTATTGAAGATACTGTTAACTATGTGTTACAACAATAGTTTGATATTTGATTTTTCATTGAATAAAAAAAGTTAAATGATAGAATATTGATGATGTGGTTTCGGGAAGAAACGTCGAGAAATACATATGTTGTGATATGTCAACGAATTTAACAAACGTCAGTACCTTCAATTTTGAAAAAGCAGACACAACTCAAAAACTGCAATAAGTATTAATAAAATTACTAGACTTGAAATTACATTAAATTTCAATATTCAGTATTTACAGATTATTTATAAACACTAACTAGGGCGGTAAGGATGGTTAATCAGGTTGAATAAAATTTTTAAGTAGGTCTTGACAAACAAAATACATGCTCTGGTAGTGTCAAGTTGTTGATTTACTTGTCAAATTTTTAACAGTTATTGTTGCACTAATGTTGTCTCTTCGGGAAAGAATAGAAATAGTTTCAATATGTGGTGAGAATACACCATACCGGCAAGTAGCTAACATTTTTAATGAACGGCATCCAGGAAAAAATGTTCAACATACTACTGTGTCAAGAATACTGTCGAAATTCAGAGAAACAGGATTCGTAGCAAATCAATTTAAAAAAAGCACACTCCAAGTAAATATGATGAGGAGGCCCAACTTAACATTTGTTTAAAAGTTATTGAACACGGACAAACGAGCATAACCGATAATATGAAAAATACCGATTAACACATTAAAAGAACGCGATTTTGATGTCCGTTTGGGGTTTTCATTCTGGTTTTAAGGAGAGAGAGAAGAAAATGTAAAGTTTCCGTATAAAATTTTATGGATAGATGAGGCAACGTTCTCTTCAAATGGAACAGTAAGTTCTCAAAATTGCCGATGGTGAGCCCAAGAAAATCCCAATTTCACAATTGAAGGTGGTGATCAGTATTCCTTTGAAACTAATGTATGGTGTGGGACACTTAACGACCAAATAATTGGCCATTTTTCTTTAGGGAAAATTTATCATCCGTCGGTTATCTCAACCTTTTGAATAATGAGGTTAGTGAAGTTTTAGATAATACTCCTTTAAATATTAAATACGACCTATGGTATCAGCTTCATGGCGCACCAATACATCACACGATTGCTGTAAAACAGTCCCTCCAATAAATGTTCAGAGGCAAAGTTATTGGACGTAACTGGGAACATTATTGGCCACCTAGATCACCCGACTTGACACCTTTAGACTTTTTCTTGTGAGGTTACCTGAAACAAAAAGTGTACCGAAGTAGACCATTTACTGACATACAACATCTGGAAAATATCATTCGCGAGTGCTGTGCAAATATAAATCCCCGATTCACTAAAAATGCAGTTACAGATGTCAGTAGAAGAACCATAATTTGTATTGAACGTGGAGGACGACATACCGAAATGTAGGCTATGAGTGTTTGACAACCTCATTTAGATTAATAAATAATTTTTGTACCCATTTGTATTTTCTATAATATTATTGTTGTTTAAAATTTATAATAATAATAGTTCTATCGAAATTATTTGCATTTTTTTAGTTGCCTCTGCTTTTTCGAAATCAAAGGTTTGTTTAAGAAAATAGCCAAGTATTTTACTACATTTATTATTATTATACTCTAGGAAATAACTGTGATCATGCAAGAGAAAAAAATCTATCATATATATCGAGGTCCTAGTTAGCTACTGAATAGTTTTAAAAAAACATATTTTACAACTTCAAAATTATTCAAATCTTCACTGAATATTGATGATGGCAATCGTGGGAATTATTAAATTGGACGCCGCCACCTGCACTTTTCTGGCACAAAAGCAATGCTCTACCGCCTACTTTCCGATTGAGCATTCATGCCATTATTCCCTAGAATTCCACGGTGGTTTCAGTGAAAGTCATTAATCTAGTTCAAATATGTTGGCGTCACCTGTTTACTAACATCGAAAATATGTAATAAGTTACACCTTTCCATCAAAAAATAACGATTCATGTACTCTAATTAAAAGATATTTCAGATCATATAGCTTTCCTTATCTTCTTCATGAACTTCAATGAGTTGATCACGTGAACATTGTTTTTGTCCCAGTAACAGCAAAAATAAGCTACCTTAATGAACTAATTAATAATGACGGAATGGTAAACGTATTTCCTCCAGAGCCATAATACATTTTCTAACACGAAATTTTCGAGCCATGGAAAATACTACATATTTGAATATCAATAAATATTCTACAGGAAAACTGAAGGCCTATAAACTGGAATTGTACTTCTTTTCTTCATCCACAGCGGTCACCTTATTTTTAGTTACTAGATATTTAAACAAATAGAACAAATGTTATTTAAAACAAATAGTTGCCCTGTTAATAGGTTCTTCGCTTTGATATAGTTAGGGAAAATCATACATTCTCTTGGTTCTGTCCATGTTGGTAACAATAAATGACAAAATTGTCTTATAGTATCAGATACAATTTAAAAGTGGACCGTTATCATATTTATTGAAAATTCATATGAAAAAAACCTCAATTCGACACTGTTCACCTAATACACAATTGACCACATGATTTCTCTTCCATTTTTATTGTTTATGCATTAGAACAGACCTTGAGTGAAATGTTTGTAAACGAAAATATTTGTTGTCGAAATAAAGTGCATCAGAAATTTACATATGTAAATATTTGGGTAACAAGTTCGATTAAGAAGTGGGTCGACAGATTAGAAACGACGAAAAATTATTCAAATTGAATGGTCTGATTCATGTCTGTCAAACCGATCAAATAATCTATTAATGCCGTCGACCACATACGTACACATTTGTCACTATTTGTTTATGTGTTATGACCTATTTGGTGCATTGTGTTTTGTTTTCTAATGGCTGCTAGCCATTACCGAAGTAATATACAGACAGCGATTAAGTAGTAGATCACAGAAATGTTATTTTCAAAAATAGATAGTAAAAGCTACTTCCGAGCAGTGCTCGAAAACTTGAGTGCTCTTATCTTTGATAAATGTCTTATGTTACTTTTAACGATGTTTTCTTCATAAAATCTAGATTGTTGAGTGTGGATGGAATAATGTAGTCACTTTACATACAGAGTACCGAAGTTACTTGAAATTTTCAATGAGAAGTGAGCTAGGGATATAATTTTATAGGGATTTTTTATTTTTTGGTTAGCTGCTTCCGAAAAATCTTGTTCGAAAGTTCCGAAATTAATTCAGAACTTATTCAATTAACACTTCATTGTGAGGTTTCTACTAAACAATTTACAAGTCAACACATGTTTCAATATAAGTCTGCATCAGGTCTGCACAGAGGGTGGTTTTGCATAGACAACCTTCTCATTTATAATTTTAAAAATTTCTACGAATTTTGTGTAAATCTTTTCTTTCGAAAATTGCAAAGATAGGTTCGGTACCTTGTGTCTAAGAAAATTAAGTCTGAATGAAATTTAATCAGATTTGTTTTAGCATTTGATATTCATATCAACAAAGTTGTTCGAAGGAGTCTTTCGGAGTCTTCGGAATGAATGTAGTTTCTAATTAAGGGTTTAACTTTCTTTTGTGGAATTTTTATATTCAACATTGAAGATGAAGATCCGTAACAATTGTGATAAGATATATATATATATAGGACAAACAAAAAACAATTTAAAAACCCGCATAGCTCTTCGTAAAAGTAATTGTAAAAATTTGAAACGAAATTCTTATGCTCTAACACAACACGTTCTAATGATCATTCAGTCAATTATACATGAAAATTCTCCATTTGGAACCTGATTAAAATAAAAGGCAATTTCTGGAAATGACTGAAATTAAAATTAAAGAAAACAATGTCAACAAAAAGACAGACATCGCCAGCCTCAGCAAAAGGTATTCATTTTTACTAACAAAAAATAAAAAACCTGAATACATCCTGTTATATTTACACAATATAAATCACCATGATAAACGACATTAAAAAAAGTATTTCACATTATTCAATGTCAAAAAGTTGTCATTTTCATGTTGAAGACTTTTTCCAAAATTGAAATTTCCAAATTAAATATCCTCACAGCACAGGTATGCTGTTTTATGTGTTATTATGTGATGTTTGTGTTTCATGATTTGAAAAAAATAGTTGATTCAACCAAATCTCCAAATGAAAAAGCTCTTCCTTAGTAATATATTAAACGTAATTATTTTTTCCAGGGTATCTTCCGTTTGGCATGCGAAAATGTGTTGAAAACGATGAGGAAAGGAAGGGAAACTCTTTTGACCTTATTGGAGGCTTTCGTTTATGACCCTTTGATAGATTGGACTGTCAGCGGCGAAGTATTAGCTGGGACCACTTTTGGAGGAATGACCACAGATAATAGTTCCAAACAGACCAAGAAAGAATTGGAAAAAGAAGTAGTGTTGTCCATGTTCAATGTTAGGTGTACCGAGATGAAAGCAGAATGGAATGAAAATAAGTGAGTTGATTCAACATTACTGTATCAACATAAATGTTTGGCTGAAAACAAATTTGTTAATGATGTGATAGGAGTATTCAACAAAACAAATATTATTGGACTGGTTTGAAGTTATCCACATCCACAAAGTACACTGAGAAAAAAAGATTGATTTTTTTTTTTTTCATATAACGACTTTGTATACCTACCATTTTTAAACGGTTTTATTTAGCTTGTCCTATTTGTTTCTTTGGGTCAAATTTAGTAATTGAAGTTTGAGCTCCTTCGTGTTGACAGATAAATCTGATATTTGGTACACACATTCAGTTTTGATGACAATACAATTTAATAAATTTTATATAATTTTGAATCCAAGATGGATGCAGCTACAAAATGGCGGATTACAAATTTTTTCACAATTACCTCAATATGGGTATCAAATGACAGGGCTTGACTAGTACTATAGTAGTGCACTATGAAAAAGATGTAAATCCAATATAATCTACACAAAGAACTTTGTCAACTCAGAATCGATCGGGATACAAGCATAGATCTCCCACCCAAGTCAATTTTGTATTGTGTCGAGAACTGTGTGACGTTAGGGTGGCTAAAAGTGATACATTGTTAGCGATACACCACCCAAGTCAAGATAATGGGTTAAAACGTGCCGAGAACGGTGTGGTATTAAGGTGGATAAAAATTAGAAACTGAAAAGTTGAGAATGAAATAAGTTAAAAAAATTATGTTAAACAGTTTAATTGAAAAAACAAAGATAATGATGATGTGTATAATGTACTGAAAGTGAAAAATAATTCGGAAGCAGTCATTACACCACTCTCATTAATGTACTAAAAGTACAGTCCGAATTATTTTTTAGCTTTCAGTACATTATCTACATTCATATTATTATCCCTTTTTTTTCAATAAAATCTTTAACTTAAAAAAATTACTTATTATATTCAATACGATAATATTCTTATTGACCGAGTTAAACGATTATGGACATACAGGTTTGCTTACTTACTTATATCGCCACAAGCACCGAGTAGCACTGGTGACACTTTTAGTAGCTGCCATAAGACTGTGTTTATGATGCACTGTTTGGAACCTTTGGTGTAGTAATGAATATTACTGGAGTTTTTTCCCAACACCAAATCGTTATTTTTAACACCTCGACACGTGTTTCGATCACCAAGTGATCATCTTCTTAGTTTTAATCTTCCTCTTTGAAGATGATCACTAGGTGATCGAAACACGTGTCGAGGTGTTAAAAATAATAACGATTTGGTGTTGGGAAAAAACTTCAGTAATATTCATAAGGCAACATTTTTTGAGGATTATTTTCGGACAGTATTACAATGTTTTTGTTTATTTTGATCAAATTTTTATTTAACTATACCAATTAGGTTTCTGAAACATTGAGTTTGTTATTGTGAAAGTCTTATTTTTTTGTGCTTTTGGACATTTTTTAAACTGGTGTAATGAGTAGACTCCATATAAGACTCTGTTGTTTTCTTCCTTTTTGAGGTTTGTGTTTTGCCATGTTGGAACTTTTTTGTTTTTTTGAACATTTTTAAATTAAATTAAGATAAAAATTTGAAATATTAACATTTTTGCAAGCAATAGCAATAATTGTCTAACCATTAAATAACCTTGTAATTTTTAGTTAAAATGCCTGGTCGTATTTGTGCATTGTCAACTTGCAACAGCAATCAGTTGACTTTAAAGAAAAGTGGTGTTACTGATGTAATATTTCACTCTTTTCCTATTGCTAAGGATATGGTTTCCACCACTTTGCAAAAAGAATGGATTCGTTGCTGCAAAAGAGGAGATAAATTCACTCTCAAAAATGGATTTTCTCAAATTAGAAGCCGCGGTCCAAATGAACATCCTAGTCCATTAGAAGTAATTTACCGAATCAGAATAATCATTCTGGGAAAAAATTCTACCATCCTCCAGGCTGCAGTCAATACTGAAGAACCGACAATAGAAGAATATATTACTCCAAATGTCATGAAAAAGGTGGAAATTGAAATTAACGCAGACACGATTTTAGAGCAGACAATAGGATCAAATTGCAGTAGCTCATTTTCATCTAGTAGATCTGACATTTCTACTAACATTCCTTCAACTTCAAATACAAATATTCCAGAAATAACAGAGGACTCTTTAGAATATATTGCTGGATACTTTGCTAAAAAGTATAAAAATGATCTACCTGGTTTGGGTCCAGCACCTTTCATTGGGAGATCATATTAAACCCACAGATGATTGGTTAGAAAAAATTAAAAAGTGGAACAAGCTTCTCGAAAAACATCATTTAAATGGATTTGGAAAAGGGTCAGGAGTTGTAAAAACTCTTTAAAAAAAATGCAAAAAGGAAAGATGTTCCTTTAAATATTATTTAACATGAAAAATCGACTTTGTACACCTATCAAACTAATATATGTTATTCTTGATGGCCGTATCAACTAAAAAACTTCACGTCATAGGTTTTCAGGCCGTCTGAGGGGGTGAAATGGGGTGGGAAGTTTTGATAATCGTATATCATCGAAATTTGAATGTACACCTAAAAGATTGAGATATGTTATTCCTGATGACCGTATCGACAGAAAAAGAACTTCACGTCATAGTTTTCAAAGCCGTCTGCGGAGGTGGAAATGGGGTGCGTTGCATAGAACTTATATGAACAGGCTGACAATGACATTTGAAAACAGGTTCTGTACTTGTAATTTTCGATTATACGATTTTTTTAAAGTTATCACCCCATTTCCACCCCCTCAAACAGCCTGGAAAATTCTGACGTGGAGTTCATTTTGTCGATTTGTAATCCATAACACATTGGACACGAAAGGCGCTTGTCGCCTCGCCGATTATATCTTAGCCTCCATCTTTTGTACAGGTTATTCTAGTTTCCGAACTGAAGAGGTGGAATTCGATCTTTCAGGATGGAAAAGTGCCTCTTTTGTGAGAACAGCAAAAACCTCTTCATACCCTTGAGTCAGTTGTTACGACTTCAGCAGCCTATCTTCAGTTGATTTTGTGTATTACATACACTACTGTTTTTGATATTTCTAGGATCGATGTGTCAGAATTTGCCTATTCATATCATCTTTTTATGAATCTCTAGCTGAATCCACCTTTACTAAGGCAATAGTCTAAGCAAAACATATTCCGAACAAATATGTCCCCTTTAAATTTCACCATGTTTTTGTTATCTGCAAAGTATATAAAGAATATTTAAATTCAATTTCACAATTTTAGATACTTGAGTAGTGAATGTTGTTTTTGTTCATGAACAAAATGAAAACTCAAAAAAATTGTAAATTTCAGAGAGGAAATACTCAACGAGATTCCCATCCTAGAAAAAGGTTTAGATGCTTACTTAGAGCTCAATATTGAGATATCCAAAATGGAAGATGAACTACAAGATCTTCACCAACAATTAGCTCTCGTGAAAGAAGCGGAAGCTCAAGGACATGGTCACTCCTTGTATGTCTTGCCATCGCTTTATGATACTTATCATAAGAATCAATTAACCGTGAATATCGCTCGAAAAGATTTGAGTGGAATTGTTGAGGATTGCGAGAGGCATATTGAAATATACAACAACCTCCTAGCATCTTACGAAAGGCAGCAATTCTCTCAGTGGTTGGTCGATATTAAAACAGTTTCCACCGAGGATAATATGCGAATTTTTGATTTGGTGAAGGAATTCTTGCACAATGCTGGTAAAGATGATGTTGTAGCTAATTGTGAACAGTCGGAGCAAGAGGTTTTTCAGTTGTCCCAGCACATAAACCTTGTGTTGAGGAAGTGTATACAGATTTACCAAGATTACTTTTCGATCATAGTGCAATGCCCAAAATCTTACCTTGAATCTCACAGAATGTATTTGTACTTGAAGTGGTCTAAGTTTCTCTTAGAAACCAACAGTTACAAGAGCTGTGAAGTCGTTTATGAGAATATAAGAGAGTTTCTAGAGTCCACTAAAATAATCAATCCTCAAGTCGTTACAGTGGCATTCAACCTCGATACTCTTTACAAAGAGAACCTGATGCAAGTCAATAAGCTGTTCGATGAGTTGGGTGCTATTAGATCAAATAAAAACACTACACCTTTGGAGATAGTTTACAACAATGCTAAGGTGGGCATGAACACGTTTCTCAACTCTGAAAAGGGCGCTGTACCCGCCTTGCAGTTTGTCATCGCCAGTGAATTGATTCTTCTAAATAGAAACTTGTTGACTCTTGAAATTGCTGCTCAGCGTAGCGGCAATTGGCTAATTAATTTAACTTCTCGAGATGGCGATTGGTTCTTGGATGACCTTTTGCTCCACAGTACCAGAGCCGTCGAAATGGTAAGCAACCTGCCGCCCAAACAAGACTATGACGAAAACTTCTGTAAAATTCTGAACGGTATTAGAATAGCAAGTAATATCTACAAAGGATTGTTTGAACTCAATTTCAACTTCCATACCATAATTCTGCCAGAATCTATCAAAAAGATTCATTGTGAAGAACCTTCGGTAATCGACATGATCACAGACTTGAATAGAGTGATACTAGATGTTGGAATCTCTATACCAGACATGATTGGCCAGTTGGAGAAACTACTAACGTGCGTTCTCATGCAAATGGATTATGACGTAAGTACTTTTTTAACTTGAAAATACATTCTTTCCGGCGAGAAAATTTTCATACAGTTTTAAAATATTCCTTCGAGAGTTTGAATCCATAAAATGAAACCTGAAAGAAGCATCCTTTTCAATTTTTCATCAAAATCGATTTAATGGTACTAGTAGACAAAGATATTACGAGGGAGTGTAAGCACTAGAAACAGTACTCTTTAATATTTATCTTTGTCACTAATGTAAATTCATATTTTAGTAGTAGGTAGTTAAATGATTCAATACATTTCTTCAGTTCTATGCTATTTCTCAGAACTACTTTATGTAGAAAGGTCTCATTAATAGTTCACAAGGGGATAAAAGTTAACCAACTATAAAATGAAAACAAAATCAAAAAGTTCAATAGGAACTGGATCCTTTTGCACAGAATAAATATGACGAAAATACTTTTCTATGCAGTAGATTTGTGAAAACACTATCCTCGATGAACGTTTCGTCAACCAAGTTGACATTATCAGGATATGATGGTAACTCAGTTTTAGTTTGTAAAATAGTAATTTATTTGGAAGATCAGTATCACCGTCTTCAATAACTAGATCCATACATAAAAAACACGAAACCAAAAGCGTGACGAAATACTTCCAGAATTGATCAAGCATATGCTCAAATCCCATAATGATATCAATCAAGCAGTTTATTATTTCTTAAACAAATTTTTTTTAAACCTTTAAAAAAATATAATTCATCAAATTTTCTCTCTCGGTTAACTTATCAGTTACGGCAGTTAGTCAGAGAAAAAGAAAGTATCATAAACTTTACAAACAATTTGGCTTAGAGGAGGATTATACAAATTTTTCTAACTTGAGAGCTCAGTGTGAATTGATTAGCCAAAATTGTTACAAAAGTCATATTGAAGACATAGAGAGAAACATATCTAACAATTCTAGGCATTTCTGGTAACTTGTCTACAAAATAAAAAACTCACACAAAATTCCTGAAAAAATGCACTACAATGAAATGATCAGTTCCGATGGTAACGATATATCAAGTCTTTGTCAACTTTTTTCCTACAGCCTGTTCTAATGAAAACCATAGCAATACTTATATTAGAGCTGAACTCTAATGTTCAGCTGTTGATATAGTTGAAGTCAGCACTAGTATGACAGAAAATTTTAATTGTATTGCAAGTTTGCCATTTAAATTATCTTTTGGGTCTGTATTTAATCAAAAACTGCAATTATTCTATCACAAACCCTATTCACGCAATTTTTAATATGTCTCTGAAATTGGGAACCTTTCGCGATTTCTGGAAACAGAGCTTCTTACACCCATTTTTAAATCGGGAAAAAATGATAATATTGAAAATTATAGAGCAATTTGCATGCAGTCAGAAATTCCTAAGATGCTGGATTATTTTGTAACAAAAAATGTCTCTTGGATATGCAAAAATATAATCAAATATCAACAGTATGGCTTCATATTGGGAAGATCAACCAATACAACTTTATCACTGCATCAAAACTATATTCTATTAAATTTTGAAAATAAATATCAGGTTCACTCTATATATACAGGTTTTTCCAATGCTTTTGATAGGGTCAACCATGATTTTCTAGCATCCAAATGGATATCTCTTGGTTTCAATGGTCATTTGTTGAGTTGGTTTAAGAACTTCTTGAATAGGCGAACACAATGCATGAAAGTGGTTGGATATATTTCACATGCAATTAATGTATCTTCTGAAGTACCACATGGGTCACATTCCGGTCCACTTCTCTTTAATTTATTTATAAATGATATATCTTCTTCAATTAGGAATTCCCACTTTGCTGACAATCTGAAATCATTTCGCCCTGTGAACTCTTTCTATGATGCCAACCATCATAGCAAAAGCTGTGATTTCATGTTGGGCTTCACCTTCATGACTTCAGTCACAACACAACGAAGATACTCTACTGTTCTCATTTTAGATCTATTCTGGAGTATGGGTCTACAAATTATGACTGTTATGTCAAACAAATTGAAAAAAGAGAAAAAAAATTGAGATGCTGTGCTTAGAAATTGGGTTTACTTCGAGAGCAATATGAGTAAGTCAAGTAATATCAACTGTCCAAAAATACTCGAGACTATTTTATTGAAAACTCCAATTTAAAATTGGATTCTTGCAACTTCATTCCACTCAACCAATTATGCCTATCGTTCCCCTCTCAACAGAATCAAAATATCTTCATCAAACAAGTTTTCCCATGACCTTGACTTATTCTATATGAATGTGAATAAGATAAGGAGGGTTTTAAATGATGTTAGTGCTTAATGTTCTATGTTCAAATTTCTATGTATTTGCTAGTCGTAAGTCACTCTGAATTTGTAATATGTATATGTGATATTTTAAATTTGTAACATTTGTAATATTTCTGAATTAGGTTACCCCGTGTAATGAATAGAAAAGGTGCTTCAAGATTAAAAGATCAATTCTAAAATATGTTGGCATGTTAATCAAGCTAGGAAAGCATTATTTCAAACAAAAAAAAAAAGGTTTTCAGAACATTTTTGTCAATACCGTCTTCATCTTCAGTATACCTGGAGTATTTTATGTATTGCAAAACCCGTTTCCTGATTTTCACAAGATCACTTTACAAATATTGGTCTGATATCTCTTGAATGTCATTCGGCGATAGCATTGCTTGCAAAAACCATATCCTAATCCAATGTTAATGTAATATGGAGTTTACTGGACTATTTGAATTAGCAAATATCATAAAAAATTAATGATCAATAAATACATTTGTTTCTTTCAGACAACATACGACTATGTTTTAGAGCGAGTTTCATACACCAAACTTCAATATCTGACACTGATACCATCTCAGTCAGAATCACTGAGCCAAGGAAAAATGCTTCTGATGGGTTTCAATGGACTTTTTGATAAATTAACCCAAGAAATCAATAATGTAACCAATACGTTGGGAAACGTAGATATTCCAAAGTCGTGGAAAAGACTAGATCATGTAAAAGAGGCTAGAAACATAGCGCCTCATATATTTAACACACAAGTTCGAAGTATATTAGAAGACATATTCTTTCTGAAAAGACTCAGATCCATAGTTGAGTTTTTCTCATTAGCTCAGGATATATGCAAATCTTTGAAAGGCATTGGTACAGGGATTATTTACAATGACGAACAACTGACTAAACCTATCAAACAGTACATAGCAGAGTTCATTTCCAGAAAGTTATTAGGAATATTACCTGAAGCGATAACGTATGCAGTGTGTTTTCTCTTACAGAATTTGGGGTTAGATGTCACTCACGAAATTGAACAAAAAGATATTGGGGCTGAAAGTAAAGTTCCTTTGGATGAATTATACTCTAAATCTTGGAATATTCTACTGAAAGATGGAACTTTCTCTCAAAACGTGCTGTCACAAGCATCCAGTTTGGAAACAAATTTGAAACTAGCATGGGAAAAGATACAAGAACCGAAAAAAATTGAACAGAAACTTAACATATTGCAGTCTAGTACGCTAAGATTACAGAGCCACCTAGCAGTTCATAACATGATGTTTGATGAGGTTCTGCAGTTGCAAAACTTCACGTCAATCAGAGCCAAGTTTATCATGGATATCCAAAACGAAATGGGGACTTTGAAAAATATTTATCGTCAATTAGTCGAGGCCAACAATAATCAACAAAAATTGATTGAGAAAGCTGACCAACGATTGAATTGGGCAAAGGGAGCCAATCCTAATGTGATCGAAATTTCAGCAGCTTTCCAAAGTGCCATAGAAAATAGGAATAGACAGTTGAATTTGGAATTGAAAATCGCGAGTAGTATTTTATCGTCATACAGCACGATACTGAAACATGAATTTTTCAGGAGCTTGTCTGCAGAACCTACCAAGGAATATGATAAATTGTTTTTGAAATGTTTTGAAGGTTGGAGGTTATCCTGTCAGTACATAGATGCTAAAATCGATTCTCTTACACCTCCAGAAGAAAGTCTCTTAAAAATGCTTACTCCTGAAATAGTCAACGATCCGAAGTGGTTACACAGAATATCGGAGATCTTAACTGATATCATAACGGTGGCTCAAAAAAAACTGAAGGATAATAGAACTGCAAGTTTTACAGATAATGATGGTCTGATGTCTCTTATGGATAATTTCAAAACAATTTACAACACTCATTGTAGGCTTTACTTTGACGTAAAAGTTTTGATAAAATCTATGACTAAAATTGAGGACTATAGTATTCCTACCCAACATTTCTTACAGGAATACCGACAATATACTGATAATTTTTCAATGTTATTTTCTAAATTCAAAAAGGAAATTAATAAAGAGGAAGTAAAAGAACTTTTGAACCATATGAATTATATTAGAGAACACACTTCGGCAATTTATGAGGGTTTGTTGAATTTAGAGTCAGCCAAGAAGAGGGCCCAGTTGAGTAGGCAGAAAGCCATAGAAATCCCCGACAAGGCTATACCACAGAAACAAGAGAGTACTTCGAAGGGACAACAAAGCAATGCTTATGCAATGAAAGTGTGGCGTAGAGTTAAGATGAAGTTGGAAGGAAGAGATCCTGATCCAGGCAGAAAGAGCACCGTTCAAGAACAGGTTAGTTTGATTTAACGGTGTAATTATTTGGTGTTGAGTTACATTTGTGTATTTTTTATGAAACACCGAAACAGATGAAATGGTGGTACAAATATGATAAGTTTCATTTTCATTTATAACATATTTCATCTGATATTCAATTGAATATTTTTTTATTACTTTAATTGGAGCGTCTTACAAGTTTTTCAAAAATAAAATTTTCATAATTAGTGTGTTTTCTCAAGTACAAATACCTTTTTTTTAAGATTCATTATTGATTTTAAAAATACCCTATAATTGTGTAGTGATGGTCAAATTGAAGCTAAGAATTTAAAACCTGACTTTAGTTAAACTACTGAATGACAAACTAAGAACCAGGTGAGAATCAGAGTACTACTTACATATCTCTTCACTCTTTTACCTGCATCCCTAGTTATATTTGGTTTCAAACATGTTTGTTAACAGTATTAGAAATTTAATGTATAACTGATATTTTATCTAGAAATTGTAAACATGGCAGAATACACCTATACAAACCAGTACTTGAAATATTTAGTGTGGTATTTAGCTTTATTGGTATTTGAAAATATGTTTTATCAAATTCCGGGAAGATATTATCTCAACTAATAAGTTGACATGTTTGTTCCAAAGAAAAATTAAAATTTCTATGAATTTTTCGATTTGTTATATTTAAACTTGTCATTCAAAATTATGTGTACCAATTAAAACAATGCACACCTGCACCTGTTATTGCAAATGAAAAGATTAATCTGTATTTGATCAGATGGAACACAATCGCTGGCATAATCCTACCTAATGATCTAAGTGAAGCAGACTTATTTCCTTTAAAATTCATGGTTAAACCAGCACATCAACAAAATTACAGACTTTGTCCTGAGGACTTATTCTGTCATATTTGGTAAATGAATGGTAAAAAGTTAAATGTAAAGTTTTTATTCACTGTTTTTCCCAAGTGCCACAATAAACAAGATCCGTTGATGATTCTGAATCTTATATTGATCTTGTGTGTTTCTTTGAATAAGCAAGGCTTTACGTGGTGGAAATGAGTAATTGATTATTCATTAGGAGAAATTTATACCTGGATTTCCACATCTCGTAATCTTGTGAGGTTGTTTACCAGCCGATACAAACTGTAAATGAAAAACATTTCTGAGACAAGTTTATTGAGACTCATTTCTCTCGGAAGTGAAACAAGTACTTGAAGAAATCACCATAATAAATAATACATGATAGGTATGCATTATGTACGATAGATAAATAGCTATGTGTTTATAGATTTCTAACAAGTCAGGCGAAAAATTCAAACCAATGAGGTAAAATGATTAAATATATCAACATTCAAAATACATTAAAATATATGAAATTTTGTAGCTCCACATAAAGATAATCAAGTGCATTTAGTATGTAGACAGTTATTTGAAGAAGAAAGCTGAGATTTATTCTTATACAATAGAAGGGTTTTTTCTGCATTCATAAGAGATGTAAGCAGGCCCTTGAAATAAAATTGTGGAAAATACACCTATATTTAATATGACAATTTAATACTGCACAGGTGAATAATTGGAAATGTCAAAATAAAAAAAATTGTCTGCGTCTATCAGCTTCCAGTTGTTAAATCTACTTTACCACTGAATTTGGTAGACGGTAATTGTTGAATGTAGAATGCTGAACATCCGTGGTGGAAATTACCAACCTTGTAAAGTATCATCAGTGCATGCACCCAAAGAATTCAAAAACAAAAAAATGTAAAACATCTATCAATACCTATAATAGAGCTAGATTCTACTCTGAGTGAGACTTTTTTTCATTCACAATGATGAAATGTAGAGTTCACAGTGTTTAAAATAACTTCCTTAGCTAAGATTGCTGTAGTTGACTAAATTAGGTTATCATGACATTGTTTCACAATATCTGCAGCTTGCAACTGAAAGTTCAGCTTTAGTTGCAACTGAAAGTTGCAAGCTGCAGACATTCTGAAACAATAAAAAAAATTTAAGAGGTAAAACACCTCTAAGGAAGGCAAAGACAATTGAATCCACTAGCAAGATCAGGACATCACGTTTTTGAGATGTGATGATTATCATTATTTTCATGAAATGAAAACAGCATACTGTGGTTATTTTTGGTTATTCTGCGATGATTTATCGTGCGTGGGTATTGAAACCTGCCTTTTGATTGGTTGTAATTATATGGAACCATCAATAAAAGCCATTGTTATTAAAAAAAAAATTGTAGTTTGCCAAGAATAATTTGTGTACCTTTTGAAATATCATTCAGATAATAGCGTATTGTGGTGACTGTCAATTTTCATTGTCTACAAAGGGAAAACCATCAACTTATTGCAGCATCCAAGTAACAAAATCAAAATATTTGACCAAAAAGAAAGTAGTATCTCAGGTGATGCACTGGTTGACTATAATTTATTGAAGGTGAACATCATTGGGAAAAGTGAATAAATTCAGGTATTTTATGTTTAGGTGGACTATGTATTCCACGAGGCAACCAACTTGGACAACCTAGCTTTGCTATATGAAGGTTGGACTCCATGGGTGTGAGAAGCAACCGAATGGGCAGTAAGGCTGCCACCTGGGTCTCCTTCAGTTCTAGTAGAGCGCGCCAACATATGAGTTGCGGCAAGTGGAAAAAGCAGCATCGTCATCTCACATTACTTGCTTTCAGATCAAGTTGCTTAGTTTTATTGTTTTTGCAAGAAATCACGACACTAGTCTTATTGAAGATGGGCTGAAAAATTTATAGAAAATGACTTTGCAATATCAGTAAAACTTTGCCGTTTGCAACATAGCAAAATGTTCCAGTAAATGCTGCTTTTCATTTTATTATCAAAGGTATTGTCAGAATTGGCAAATTAAATAAAAATAAATAAAAAAGCTGTCAAGATTGGCAGGTTAAGTGTGAAACTGAAATTTATTACCTGAAAGATGAGAGGTAACTGCCATTTCTCAATTTATATTAGATAGTTCTTACTTGGATTCACCTTCATATCAATGAATAAATATTTCATGAAATCCAAAATTAAGACAAATCAAATATTTTTCACTCAAGTTGTTGAACAAAATCATTTCATTACTGTAATACCACATTAAACATTAAAGAATTTTCAAACAAAAATTAATGCCTATCGGTTCTCTCACAATATCTTTAAATTTGTTATTACAATATCATTTGTTTTCGGTAATTATTTAACTATTTGAAATCCTAATTGGACTCGATTGAAAGTATGTATATGGTCAACTGTAATTCTTCTTTTCTATTCTAAACCTCTCACTTCTATCGATATATTTGATTTACCTATCTCTTAGACCCGATGGACACGGTCATACAATAAAAAGCACCTCAATGGCGACTGCCATTGTTGAAATATATTGACTCTAATGAACCAACGCCTTCGCTCATACAGCTCAACGCATATCATATTATGCATTGTAGAAATGCATCTCTAATGAGCCAATGCAGGTGAACATCGCATACGCATGTCTTTTTGTCATTGCGACAATGACTGTTGCAACACATAATTTGCAGTGTGTTGAATTGTACGCCCATGTGCATCAAGTCCTAATGGAAATTGTAAAGACTATACAGTCTGACCCAAATCAAGCACGCAATATTGATAATTGTGTTATTATTGGAGATACAATATCGTTTAAATTTTTTTTTACACTGATTAAGGTAGAAGAAACAAAAAATCAATTGAATAACACCTTTTTGACTATATATATTTTCTTCTAGTGGGAAGTGGTATTCTGATAAAAGAATACACATTTTTTGTAAAGTATGGGCAGAAATGAAAATGAATATCAATTCCGTTGTCATTATTGTATAATGTCTTCTTAGTAAATGTTAATGTATAATGTCTCTTTAGTGAATGTTCAAAGACGTCACATGTTTCTTCAATATATTTTTGTGCATATTTTGAAGTGCTTGAAGACTTTTCAACACGTTCCTATCTTCGATATCCTTGAACTTTTCAGTTATTAACAGTTGCTAAGTATTGAAAGCATTTAGTTGCTTAGAGATTTATTATTTTCATATACTGTATATTTAAACATATACTGAGAAGAGATTCAACAAATTGTTACATATTAATTCGAACTGAAGTTCATATTTAATCTATCCCTTAAAGATGATAGTTTTTTTAATTTACCAATGGTGAGACCTTAATTTGAATTGAACTATATATAATGAAAACTAATTTTAATTACAACCCACAATATAATTTTTGGTGTGAAAAGAACATTTGAATTTATTATTCATTAAATGCTCTTTCGCTATAAAAGTAATGTTGAAATTAATAATTGAAAAATATATTTTGCTTTAACTGTTAGTAACTGTAAACCTGAAAATTGCAAATAAAACCCCTTTTCTCAAAATTTTGAGACATACTTTATAAATAGAATGTTGAATTCAAAGTGACAATTTAGTATTTTTTTTAATTTACATTATCCAATGAATATGTATCTATCTAGAAGTTGATTCTTAACACTGGATTCTAAAAAGACACGAAAATAATTGATTTTCCAGGTTATCGAGAAATAAAAATGTGATAAGTACACTGTTCTCTTTTTTGACAGAAGTTTGTGAGGCTTCACAAAATGTTTTTAAATTTGTACCTGTTTTTTCTTTTGCTGAAATATATGTTTGAGATTTTTAATACTGGGAGACAAAGTAGATTTTGATAAACAGGTGAATTTAAGTAATAAGGCAATCTGTATGTGACTGAGTTAATTGGTTAATGTATTTCATGACACAGGCAGTTCGTGACACACAAAAATATTGTTCCTGGGGTCGAGTTCGAATGTGTTGAAGATAAGTGATTGAAAAAACATTTTATTTAAAATATATTGACAGAGAAATATTTATCAGGTGAACGAAATGCAAATTATCATATCTTTTGAACACTTGGCTCTTTCTTGAATTGTAACCATATCTTTTTTGAATTGAATATCGATTTTGTCTTGTGTGAAGTTGGTTGTTTGTTAACTTATAATTGGTAAGTTGTCAGGCTTTTTTTATTTGAAATATGTTGTGTACACTATTTGCTCAGATTTATATTACTGTTGAAACTTATATTTACAAAAAACTAATATTTATTATGATTACATTATGACTGAAGAAACACATTTGTTTTCAAATCCTTCATAACAAAACTGCAAATCAAAGTAAATTTCAATGAGTGAGTTTTTTTAGTAGAGGAGAAAACAATCACAACCCTAATAAAGTTTTACTAACTTTAAATATATTTCACAATTTTGAACTCAAACCACATCGCCATTTCACTACTTTTGAAGTTCTGAATGTGCCAAAAACGTTTGTAAATAGTATTTTTGTGAATTTCTGAACTGCTGAAGAACAACGTGTATTACCGTTAACTGTTACAACAATGATATAGATGTCATAGTAAGTTAGAACATATTTTTAGATGTTCAATCAAATATTCATCTATTCAGTGAAAATAAAACCAACATAACTATTTATTGTTTTTATGTAATTACTGTTTCAATTAAAATTTAGGATATTTTATTTTAGTAGTTGATTTTCTGGAAATTGTCATGAACATTTTCATTCAAAAATATGAATAAATCAAGATAGTATTATATTTCAGCTGCTGTAGAAGATGGTAATTTCTGTAGATCATTATATATGTTCATTACTGTTTCCTGTTTTTCTTTTCAAATATAGAATTGCCTGTATTTTTAGCATTTTACTTAATCCCCCCACATCAATACCTAATCCGGACAACCAAAAAATAGAAGCAAACACAATTTGGATAATTTATTTCATATATTCATAACCAACACAGAATAAATTCAAAAGTACAAGTAAACCTACATAATATATAAAAGTTCCACAATATCACAGATTAAAAACGTATTTACTCATTTATACCATAAATTATGAGATATGATGAACTCTTTACAAGTGATTAGTTGAAAATAAATGAGTACTTGGAATTGAAACACGTTTTCTTACTTGATCCGGGTTGAGTCCTCAGTATGTTATTGATGAAACTAAGTTCAAATATAAAATGTATGTGAGAAAAGAAAGATATAAAGTAAATATATCATTTCAATAAAAAATGCAATATCTAAAATTCTTGATACTAAATATTTTGTATGTCTATAGTAGCCATAATAATAGCTATAATAGCCAATAAACAAGTTACTATTTTCTGTATCAAGATAGAGTAGTACTAAGCCAAAAACTTTCTTTCCCAACAATCTATTCCATTTCCAGAAAATTCAATTTGACATGTGTTAAAGGAAAAAAGCTGTTTCCAATAGAGGCAGTATTCAAAATCTAATTTGTGAAGTTTCCGAAAGGTGAACCATCTGAAAAGAGCTAACTATAGAAATTTCATTTTGTAGGCAAAATTCATGAATACAAGTTACTGAAGTGAACTGAGTGGTTTATATTATGCAGTAACTTTTTGGGGTGAACTTTTTCGTTTTCACTTTATTAGACTTCAACAGATTTTTTATTGATTTAGCTTCACTCATTTTTCAGGCTGTGGAAGGTTAAACATTCAAAAAACAGAAACAAAACGTCGAACCCTCCACAAAAAAGTTTTTCAAATAATTATTGGTTGAAATATTTGAGGATAGACCACTCCAAAACCAAAACCTATGTTGGTAACCTTTGATCCCTTCCAGTATTTGCTCCTCCCTAAACCACAAACTAATGTTCAGCTGAGTTTACCACAATGTTTGGTAGTTCTTTACAAATAATAAATATGAAGTGAATAAAACCCTTATCAATAAGTTTTCCTGATTTTTCTCAGAAGCAAATTGAATACTGGAAGATTTAAATATGAGTAAGTATGTGGCAGATAATGTAGCCCCCTTATTATCTATATAAACTGTTGAATCACGGAGAAACTAAGTTGAAAACTTAGCAATTTCAGCAAGGAAGAGGCTCATGTTTACATCTATGAAAAGGGGGGAACTTAATCCCACCTTCACATTCATACACCATTAATTCATTTCATTTCTTAGGAAATCCCATTTTTTCTATATCTAACTGTAGAGTTTGAAAACTGAAAAAGTTCTTCAAAATAATGGAATGGGTTAAAAAAAAATTAAAAGAAAAATACTTTCCATACTAGTCGTCTTTGGTTGTTTATCAAATAACTGAATAATAAAACTGGTATTTTAGACATAATACATATCATTATATAACAAAAACAAAGGAATCAGTATGTTTCACTATCAGTAAACTTTACAATCTCTCTCATAGGTCAATTTTTTCTCAACAGACCGATTTATCTGCTACTGCGGCATACATCTTCAGTGGTACATGTGTTGACTGCGAGTTTGAAGGTATAATTTATAAGTCTTAAGCAACGACCAACTGGGGAACTTCGTGTTTACTCGAAGTTAAACTTGTAGGGATGAGTGTGAGGATGAAGGTACTATCTTGAAGTCTCAACAACGCTCAGTCAGCATACCAGCTGCATTTTGTTCCTTCTAATCTAAATACAGAAAGGTAATACAGTCTGGCAACCTGTCCCCCTACCTAACAGACAACAGAAAATCATGTAGAAAAATCGTCTGCCAAGGTTAGGAAAAATAAATCAAATATATTTTAAAAACTCGTAAAAAGTCTAATATAAAGCATGAATTTCAAATCCAAAAACGAATACTTTTCCCAAACATTTGAAATGCAATACTCCTCTCGACGCATGTTTCACCAACCAAGTTGTCGTCAAGAAGAAAAAGACACTAACTTCATCTCCCGAAGACGCCAACTTGGTTGGTGACACCTGAGTCGAGAAGAGTACTCCATTTCTGGTGTTTGGGAAAAGTGTTTGTTTTATGATTTATTCTACGCCAGAGGTTCCAGTTTTACCTTTTTTGACCTAAAAAGTATTGTTTGAGAATTACCCATCTATAAAAATATCAAAAATAACTTCTCTACAACAGTAAAGTATATTTCTTTCAGTATCGTCTGAGAATACTGTTTGATAAAATTAAAAGTTCTCAAGAAACTCAATACTAAATTGCATAAACTTATCTCAAGGAAAATAATATCTAATCTGTTGTGATAAGTGTTTAACCCAACAAATTGAAAAGCATTATCATTGCTGTTTCTCAAATAGGTGTTAAAATATTGAAGTTTTCAATAATATATCAAGAAAAATCGTTATCATTCAATGATTTTAATTCTAAATCAATTATGCCAAAAGCAAGAAAACCAATTGTTTCTGGGTACACCAACTTGGTTTGCAAAATGTATGGCAAGAAGTTCTCTCGTTGTAGAAAGTAAATTTCAACACTGATTTTCAATGGTCCCGTTTCAGTATTCATGTGCACTTCCGTGTTAGGAATCACACGTTAAAAGGTAAACCCTCGTTAATCCTTAGCTCGCACAAGTGTCGACTTCTGAGGGTTGTCGTTCGTAGGGGTGCAACAGCTGGTTAACGGAAAAACAGATTTTTTTCCATGATGGTCCTTTTTTAGATATTCAAACTCAAGAAAAAAATAACAACTATAAAACAATAAATCCAAAAACACTGAAATAAATACAATAATAACTTCATAAGACTAAGTTTCATACTTGTTTCTGGGAGAGAACTCACCGCCAAACTATGAAATAGTTTTTGAATATATTAATTTGAATTCTATTTCAGTGATAATTTCATCTTTTGCCCTCTGAATTGTTCAGTTCATCATATCCAAAACAAAAGCACAGAAGCAATTGTGAAATGCCACAAGTGCACGACTAAACGTCTCTCTTAAATAAATAGTATTTACTATGCAAATATTATTTAACATGTACCTCAACTTTAATAACGAAATCATCACTTTGTGTTTTGTTTCTGCTGTCTCAATAGCTCATCTATTTGTCCCTTGTACATTTCCTTAACATCTTGCAAGTCCAATTTCAATTCTTCATTTTCTTCCACCTTCTCGCCAAATAACTGACAGAGTGTATCATACTGTCGTTCTAATTCTTGCAATCTAGTCTTCAGACTATCATAATCTTCAGCTCTACCAGCTAATTCTTCAACTCGGGTCAGCAAAGTTGATATTTCTGTGTTTAGGAGGGATCGTTCTTGCTCTCTCCTGTTGAGCTCCCATTGTAATTGCTGCAATTCTCCCTCACGTTGTTTCAAATTTGACTGCAGCATTTGCATTTCAAACATGTTGGTATATCGAGGGGTGGCTCCTGTATCAAAAGGTTCGTCCTGGAACAAAAATTTTATATACTGAAGGATAAAAGTCGGAAAACGAGCTCAATGAATCGTGTTTTCAATTACGGGCGGGGCAAAAAATGACAAGTGCTGTTACATTGCTGAAACATTAAAAAGCAGACAAACACTTTGATTAAATCAAATCACTTGTAACCAACTTACAGGAAATTATAGCAAACCCGACATTAACATTGTTGCTCCATATAACCTTTTAAATAGCAACACACTGATGACACAATGATACGTGATGGCATTGGTAGATACTTGATGAAAATTCCTAACTTATTCAAGTAGCACTTTATTGTGAGATTTACTCTGGACAGTTAACAAAACCTTCACACCTGTTTCGCTATACATTAGCGTGCTCAAGCATTTTCAACCATAGTATGAAAAACTATACAACAGCTGCCTCAAGCATATTGCAAGACCAAAAATATCTATAGAGAAAACAAAAAAAAACTCAAAACCATCATTTATAACTTTCCTAAACTATTGAATAAATTTACTTCAGATCGACTTCATATGCTACTTTATTTATAATAAATTGAAAATTTGAAAGGTGTTCTCATATTATTTCATTTATTCACGAAGAATTTTATACACTAGCTTTTTTTACATAGAATTTTATGTGCCGTATTCATTTTTTTCTTAATATTTTTCAATATTTCTTCGACTTTTGACTACTGATTTGAAAATTTTCAACTGAGTATTCTTATAATTTTATATGCATTAATTTATCTACTCTAATTTCTGAACTTTTAATATTGTTGTGAATCATCCCCTAAAAAAAAGATAACGCCGACCGCCTCTGGCCGTCGTAAATCAATTGTGACGTGGCCAAGATCGCGCTCAACCCGGCCGGCGTTTCTCGGTTGTTCTAGTTTTCGCGTCCATTCGATGGAGTTCTGGCGAATTCCATATTGGCTTGGAGAGGATTCGATTACCCCAAATGTTATGTTTTTCCCGTGGGTTTACCAATAATTGACTACATTCATTGTACGATAATCAAACTTTACTTAATTTAACTGTTGAAACAACCAAACACTTCAACTAAAACTTCAACTAATATTCAATTGTCTATCGCCTTATTAGATCGCTCTGTACCGCACTGTCTTAACTTTACTACTCGATATGCACGTGGATAACGATTATCGAAGTACCTCGAAGGCGATAGGGAATTCGAACTTGAAAGGACGCGAAAACTAGGTCAACCAAGAAATGCCGGCAAGGCTGAGCGGGATCTTGGCCACGTCACAATTGATTTACGATGGCCAGGGGATGATTCACAACAATATTTTCAGACTTTGATATACAGAAATAATAAATTTAATTCAACTATTCAACAATGCATGCCCCAAACTTGAAATAAAAGATGTTAAGTAAAGTCTGCCGTTACCGCTGGAACTTAATCTTCAATTACATTATATAAGAATTTATTGGGATATGGTCTAAATACTCTAAATATTATTTGTTATTTTTGACATTTACATGGATCAAATATGAATCATTAAATTTGTCCAGAAATCTTGCTCTGAATAAAATACATTTGAAAAGATTGATTCAATTTGACAATAACACTTAATTAATTTTAAATGAAAGGAAACATTTAGTGCATTTTCTTATGAGAACGGTAGCAGGAGAGTATGATAATGACTTCATCAGAGATGTCAAAATCTATAAAACAGGAACTGTGTTAGTTTCATTTTATAGATACTTTCTCATGATAATCGAAAAAGTTTACAAGCTGTAAGAAAAATCGATTCCACCACCAGTTTGATCTCACAAGTTTGGCAACTCATTAATATGTGTAATACATCAAAAGAAATTTAGGAAAAACTATATGGTATATATGAGCAGAGGACAGGACAACGGCAGAATACATTTTTCACACTCTCGCTCTTTTTCAAAAGTGAACCTACAACTCGATTAACCTATCATATGTAATAAAAATGACTCCATTCACTCGAAATAATTGTGAAATTCGTCTAATACTGAAACAGTATGGTTGACGACTGACATACAGGGCTAAGAGAAACAGTTGTAACTTGGGCTTCTCTACAACACCAATCAGTAAAAAAAATCTCTGAACATTTCACCGAAAATCACGACAAAACATCACAAAAATATCACTATTATTCTCTTACCTGAGACCAGAATGAACCAGCCATTGATTCAGAAACAGAAAGTTTCCCTAAGCTCAGAGTCGGTGAATTGCTTCCTGTTAGTGAAGTTTGTTCAACCCCAGAGGACTGTATATCACCATTTATTCTATTTTGGATCTGAAAAATAATATATTTGCATGTTGAAGTGCTTATTATATTGAAATATTTCTGAAAATACTATTACATTTTAACAAAGAACTGAAGTTATTCTCATTTTATTGCACTGAAATGATTGCTCATTGCAACTGTGCAGTAATTTCTACAGCAATAGACGTGACCTCTGGCGGGTCAAAACAGTGATGTCTGGTGTTGAATCATAAATGTATTGTGTTTGGTCTCTGATTTCCAACTATAAAAGCTTTTTCTAAGGGAAGAGCAGCATCCACTTTTTGATCTATGTTAACATAAGTGATCCATTCAAGTAGACATCATGGCATTAGCCGGTACATATTTGGAGAATTTGCTTTCAATAGCTCATGTCACAGGTATATTTTAAAACAGAACAGGGAAGATACTAGCATGATCAACTAACAGATTTGAAAAAATATATTTGTAACATTACTTGTAATGATTCAGCCTGCCTTTTATCCATTTCATTGGTTGATTTTTCTAAAGTTAACTGGTGCTGGAGGGTTAAAAGCTGACGTTCCTGCTCATCAATGACTTCTTTATTTTTCCTAATAATATCGTTCAAATGATCAATTTTGTTATTCAGTTCTTGTTTTGTAAGTAAATTCTCGGTTTTCTGTCTCTCCAATTCCATTTCCAATCTTTCAATTTTGTGTTTTGAACTGTTCTCTCGACTGTCAATTTCAGATAATCTAGACCTTAATCGAATACATTCCTCTTTAACTTCTTTTTCCGAACTGATAGATGTTTGTAGTTTGGCCTGAAGCTCATCTGAAAGGCAAAAGAAATGTGAGAAGCTAAAATTGAATAAATAATTACTTTTAACTAATACTATTTTCGGATTCAACGTTAGTATGATTATATAACTTACTTAATTTCATTGTTAACTCTTCCTCCATTTTCTCAAAGCCGCTAATTTTCATGGTATGTGTTGCTTGAAGAGACTCCAATTGACGAATTAATGGTTTGCTAACTTCTAAAACAGATTGTGATAGTTCCTCATTGCGGGCCTCTGCCTCTTCTAATCTTCTCAGCAATTTATTTTTTTCTTCACGATGCCATTCTTCCTTCTTAATACTAACTTCTTCCGACTGCCGTAGTTTGTGCCTCAGATCTTCTAGCTGATTCATGATCTAAACCAAAATTTCAATCATTGTACCAAAATTTTAATCACAAAAAAATATTTCATTATTGCAATAAATTGATGGATGTAGCCTTTACTACGTGGTAGGAAATCATAATGAAGAAAAGAGAATTGAAACTTTCTATGTTTTTTACCATTTTTATTTGTAACTAACGTTACTGCAGTTTCGTCCTATAATTTTCAAACTTGTACATGAAACATTTTAATGTATATTCATATATAATGTATATATTTTAACAGTTTGATGTATAAGTTTGGAAATGTCCTTATGTTTAATGTATATTTATATATAATGTATATATTTAAACAGTTTAATGTATAAGTTTAAAAAGTGTCCTTATAAGATGAAACTCGTTATTTACAAATAAAAGTGGTAAAAAACATAGAAAGTTTCAATTCTCTTTTCTTCATTATTTCATTCTTGCTTTCAGAATTAATTACTTAGCTGATAACGAATATTATTTATCAAAGAAATTATATGTATGTGAAAATACTTTATTATGTATTTTCGTAACTTTTCTGAAAGTATGAATAAATTAATGAAGCAGTATCAATCAAAATACAAAATGAGTGAAAGTAAACACAAAGCACCTATACATATATAAGTATGACAAGAAAAACAAGCAATTTTAATAACACTACTTCAGTTTTGAAAAAAAACATGAAAAATAAATTTCTGACCGCTTGACCAAATATCTCAACACTGTTGAGAAGAAATTCAAAGTGCATTTTAGTAGGTTTTAGTTTATTAGTTTTCCACACTGATACTGTACAGAAATCAAATAAAACCATCAGGGCAACAAGTCAGTTCCTCAGTTTCTAGCCGATTGTGGCGTAAGTATTGGAAACAGCTCTTGCATTCTTTTACTTAATAATAATAATAATCGTCTTTATTGGTTCTCAGCTGGAGCTTCATATATATATTTTAATAGATTACAGAACTAGTTGCTAATACAAAAGGCGAAGTTTAACTCAGCACAAGTGCTACTGAGTTGTTCTTCCACTCTCTCAAAGACTTCTTAAAATTGCTCTAAGATAGCAGCTGAGCAATGAAAAATAATCTAATTTTGAGCAGATTAGCAGAAAAAATGTAATTTACCTATTGTCATTCAATGACTGAAATCTCGGATTTTTAAATATTTTCTACTGAAAAATTATTATTTTGCACCAGAAAAATCTGTTGTATTCTACTAACTTATGCAATGTAACTCACTTCTTCATTTTGTGCTTCAGCGAGTTTCTTCTGGTTTTCCAATGTTTCTACCATTTGTTCTCTAATCAACAATTCACTGTTTGACTTATTTTTTTCAGCAATGTCCTTCTTAGCAGCCTCAAGGGACCTTTTTGTTGTATCATGTTTTTGTGTTAAGTCTTCAATTTGACCTTTCAACTGTAATAATTCCCCATCCAACTTTTTATTCCTTGTTGTTAACTGATGGACAGCCTCTATTTGAGTGCGTTCAACTTCTTCCTTAGCTGCAAGTGATTTTTTCAGGCGGTCTGACTCTGATGACAACAATTCAATTCTTTCCCTGAAAAAATCAATGAAATAAGTTTTGGTCCACCCTTCTTCATGTATCTCACCTTAAATGTTTTATAGTATTTTCATTTTCTTTTTCTTTCGTTCTCAACTTTTTTATGATATTTGAATGCTGCAATTGTTGTTTGGAAAGCTTCTCTCCTTCTTCTCTGAGCTCCCTTATAACCTCATCTTTTTCAGATATAACAGCATTTATCTCGCCATTACTCATTCTAGATGCGGCCTCTTGCTTGATTTGTTCTAAATCTTTTCTCAGACTATCTTTCTCCCTAAGAGTTTGTTGAAATTTTTTCTCCAAAGCTGACAGACGCTGAGTATATTCCTCTGTTACTTGAGAAACATCGGCACTTTCTAATTGCCTTGTTATAATAGAATCCATCTGAATTTGAAGATCGCTATTCATTTCTTGTAATTCGGCATTTCTGTGATTCAAATCAATAAGTTTGGCTTCTCTAGACTCGAGAATCTCCGTCATTTCTGAGATCTTCTTCAGAAGCCTATCTGTCTCACTATGAAAATCGTCGCTGATACTAGAGGCCTCAGATAATTCCCTGGTGTGTCCTTTCGTTTTCTTTATGGTCATTTTACAAAGCAGGGAATCTATTGTGGAGTTTTCCGACTTAGTTTTTACACATGCTGGTTTGGCAGGACTTTGGCGACTCTGTGTACTGCTGGAATCACCATTAGGGCTAGAAATTATCTCTATATCAGATGAAGTAGTGGTTTCCAGTTCATCACCAGATGTGTGGTCTGAGCCTATCTTGACCAAATCTGATCGACTACCAGAACTGACAGGTGAGTTTTCTCTGGGTAATATTTCTACTTGGGAAATGGAAATATTTTCTAAACTGTTCTTATCAGAATCTTGAGAACTAATACAAAACTGCTCGACTTTATTATTTTGTTCCTGATCTGAAAAACTTTTCTCAAGCATAGCATCAGCAAGCATAATTTTTAAATAAGTGGAATGACTACTTGCTTCAGTAGCGGTACTTGTATCACTGCTACTTTCCATTATACTATCACTGCCTATAACTGTTTTATCAGAATGAGAGCTTTCATCTGTAGAAAAATCCAGCCTACATTCTGTTACCATTTCACTTTCTGAAGGAATATCTATAACATTTGTTTTCGGGAGGATATTTGGCATATCTTGTTTATTACTTTGAGGCTGGGTATCAATCATAACCTGGGAGACTTGAGTCAAAGGTAAATGCATCGTGCGACTAGGAGCTCTAGTAATGGCATCTGAAAATATAATGGAAATTATATGGAAAACATATTGGATCATTATCTGAAAACTCAACCTTTTCATATTGCTTCACCAAAACATATATCCCAAGTCACTCATGACATATTGATCATTACTGCTAATAATAAACTGAGGGGTTCATCATGGCTTGCCAGGATGGTATCTTCAACACCTTAGTCTGCCTCAGTCGCATGATGGGTATGAGGTTCCTGACACAGGGCCTGCCGCGAGGCGCCCAAGACCCTAATGCACTTGCTATCAGCATGTCCACCATATGCGGTCTCGGCCTATATCCATCGACATAACGCGGCCCTAAGAGTGCTATATTACCATCTACGGCACTCTTACGGTATTGACGAGACACCGGTGTTGCCCTACGCTCCGGGGGATATTGAATCTTTTGTGGGAAACGAGAAGTGCCGAATTTATTGGAATTATTCGTTCCCCACCCTCAGACTCATACAATCTAATAAGCCTGATGTAGTCCTTCACGACCACCAGAGCAAGACGATATTTGTCATGGAGTTTTCAGCTCCTGGCGAGACGAATATCGTCCGAAAAGAGGAGGAAAAACGGATGAAATATCGAGATTTTCTCTTCGAACTCCACAGAGCATTCCAGAGAATATAATACCATCTCACTTCAGTCCGAAAACGGGCAATGCATTGAACAAGGGCATTTCAAGTGTGTTACTCCATAGAGGTGCAAAAGGAAATGAAAAACTGATCCCTTGAGCGCCAATGACATACACGCATGCTGAGAAAAACTATTCAGTGATGTGCAAAAAAGATCTAGCCTTTATTCTGTCTAAGGAAGTTTGAACAATACATCAGAGGAAGAAGAGTCACTATTAAAACGGGTCACAAGCCTTTGATAGATTTATTTGGTGAAAATAAAAGTGTTCCAGAAAGGAGTAGACAGGTTGAAGCAATGGATTGTATACGTGGTATCCTTCGAGGAAAGCAAAATGTAATAAATGATGTCTTATGAAGACTACCACTTGAAATTCAAGTTACATTCGACGAGCTTAATTGTAAGAGTTATCTCAACTGTTCTACAGCAAGACAAAAGATCGGTAAATAAAAAATAAGTAAGTGAGATAACGGGAGAAGTCATCATGGGATAGTGTAAACTAAGAGTTATTCAGATTGTATATATAATGGGCTGGTGTAGATGCACACAAAGAAAGGAAACTAAAGAATTGTGAAGCATGTAGCAGCCAATTACTTAATCCCCCAAGATCAGTATAAACTCCAGGACCAGTGGCTAACAAGGCGTTGGCAGAGACCTCACATGGATTTTAACCTGTCCAATGAAAAAATGGTACTTTTTCATCATTACCGATGCATACTTAAAATGGATAGAAATATTTCTGATGATAAATATAGTTAGTTTTGAAATGGATAAATTTTTAACCGACATATTCCGCAGATTCAGATTGCAAGATTTAGATGTCAAGGACAATGGTAGATATTTTGTATCAGAGAAACTGGAACGATTTTATAGAAACAATGGTCTTAAACATATAACCTAACAACCATTCCATCCCGCCAGTACTGAAGCGATAGAAAATTCTGAGATAATCTATAAACATAAACTGAAGAGAGATATTAGTGATGTCCATTGATCAGAAGTACCCCTATTCATATTTTATTGGCACAATTTTTATTAACATATAGTAATACGAAAACACAGTACGACAGAGCTACAACAGAGTTGATGCAGGAAGAAAACTAATTTTCGACCGAATAACCTCATCGAATGAAGTAGTGCAGACTCATATGTTATCAAAGATGAGAAAAAAGGTGAAAAAAAAAATTCAGGAAGGACAAGGAAATTTGACGAGGGGGGGAAGTTGTAGTGGAATATTACAGAAACCTAAGAATAAAACATTGGACAGACTAAATTAGAAAAGAAAATAGAAAACAGCACATACCTATGCAGAATGCCTATGGGGAAGTTGTGGAAGAGACACACGAATTAAGTACCGAAGACTTTAAAATAAAGAGAGAGATAAGGAGCAAGACTACCAGAATTGCGAAATAAAGATGATTTGGAGGAACAATATAAAGCTCGTAGGTAATGCAAAAAAATCAATTAGACGTTAGACCAGTTGAAGAGGATATGATAGGGAATAATTCAAAAGTGAAAAAATGTAGTCAATTTCTAAATCTAGTAGTAACATGAACTACACATTTGACAACCTTCATGTGTAAAGATAAAATTAGAGTTACAGATGAAAATGTTAAGGACAGTGCAGAAAATAACACGGGAAGTATTTCTGAATCTTCATTTGAGAATTTTGGTACAGTGACAAGTTACAGAATTGTGGTATAGATTGATTGATTGATTGATAATATGTTTATTGTTTAAGAATAAATTCTTGTTACAAACACAATGTCATGAATAAATATCAATAGAGCGGAGAATGGAAAAAACGGAATCCCACAGAGTTGATAACAATTATTATTTCAAGAGAGCCCAACACGAATTGGAAAAACCTGAAAAGAGACTACAGAGATAATAGTTGGAAAGAATTTCAAGTGGAGAAACATGTTATGTTTGAACTTTTAAATCTCCAGCCTTACAGAGCTCTTCTCCATTATCCCTTTCTGTACATCTACAAAGATGTTGTTGTTAAGACTTACTACACAATTTCCACAATTATATTATTTATCGCACAGCTCATGAAATGCATTGAAATGCTAACAACTACGACCAACAAGTGCCAGAGCATAAGCTACTACAGTCAATAGATGTCTATTAATTTGATCTCATTTTACTAATTTTACTCATGTAAGAACTGCGACTGCACATGTCTGTAAGATTGGTCGCCAGTGGTGGAAGCTCAAGTTATATGTAAATGAATTAATGAAACTGCAGCCAGAATACTTGGAACATTCAACTACCAGTTAATATTGAGAGAGATACTTACCACTAATAAAGGAAGTATTTGTAGAATTTTCATTCTCGTTTAAAGAATCAGCTCGCATAAAAGTATCTTTAAGCATTTTGTGGGATTTCAGTTGGGAGTTGAAAGTAGAATCCAGAACTGTGGCAGAAGTACTTTCAGATAATGATGTATACGACACTGTATCTTCGGCTATACTATTTTCTTCTTGATCTTCAGGGATAACTTCTACGCTGTCCGGAGAAGTTTTTTCAGAAACGCTAAAAATTGAAATAACCTAATTTTCTAAGCATATACAATTTTAAAAAATCAATAAGTTCAGAAGTGGATACATGAACAGCTCCATTTCAATTTCAATAATTTTTCTATATTGATGCAAAAAATATTGGCTTATAGTGGAAAAACTGGTTTTCTATTCCATCAGTGCAATAAGAATTTTATTGCACTCATCTTTAATTCAATTACAGTGTTTTGTGATTATGACCGATATCATATTTATTCTGTGAAAAAGTCATTTTTTCAACATATGATAATATTTGTCATGTACCTGCACTTGATATAGCTTCCAATCATTTTCTTTTCATGGTGACCTTGAGATACTGTTTGAAAGACTAACCTCAATTCTAAAATGCTCCGTGATATCTGGAACTCCTTTCATTTATAGGAGAATGTCAGAGTTTTTAACAATAGAAATGGCTATACCAGCTCAACCTTTATTGAGTATATAGTTTATTCAAGAAATACTTTATTATGAGATGTTCGCTCAACAGTTTTTAAAAAATGAAACACGTGTTTCACTGTACAATAGTTTCTTCAGGCGTACTATACTCATCAGCAGAAACCAGCCTCACACTTGTGGTTTCGGTCAATGGATCACTTGGTGATCGAAACACGTTTAGAGGTGTTAAAATGACGGTTTGGTGTTGGGAAAAATCTCCTGTATGGATCTTGTGTTTACAAAAAAAACTACTAAAATTAACATGATGGCAGCTATAGCTACCTACTTGACGTCCGAGTTCAGGAAATCCTACAGATATGATAAAAAATTCTCTTGGATCTTGCGTTTATAATAAAACTACTAAAATTACCACGGAGACAGCTATAGCTACCTACGTAATATCTGGGTCTAGGGTCTGGGTCTAATAAAATTACCATGGAGACAGCTATAGCTACCTGCGTAATATCTGGGTCTAGGATATCATGCAGATATGGAGAATATCAAAGAGATAATTTTTCATCATATCTGTATGATTCCCTGAACCTGGAAGTCAAGTAGGTAGCTCTAACTGCCTCCATGGTAATTTTAGTAGTTTTCTTGTAAACACAAGATATATTCCACAAAACCACAAATGTGCGGCTGGCTTCTGCTGATGGCTCCGTGCATTTGTACTTCTTTTGGAAAGCAAGTGTTACAACATACTTATGATGGGCCAAACGCCCAAAACACGTGTCTATGGTTTGCCTGAAAAAACTTGTATAGCAAAACACGTTATAAATATATGAATCGATGTTTAAATTAAATGATCTGGTATTGACTTCGATAATTGAATGGATATGTAGATTATCATTTCTCCAGTATCTTAGAATTGAATTATTGCATAGGTTTCTGGAATGAGCAGCTTCTCTCAAGAACTTCATATGAGTTTTCAATTGATAGAAATTGAATTACTAGGCTGAGATCCTACTTAGCAGAATAGGCAAATTGTATAGTAGTCACTATTGGAAATGATGCATATCGGCAAAGACAAAGGAAACAAGTTTTTTGAAAGCCTTGTCACAAATACTTTCACATCAAATTAACCTGCAAAAGACAAACACTTCTCCACAACTCTTAATTACTTGAATCTCAAATAGATTATATTTAACAATAAACCTGTATGTATAAGCAACTGAAAAGAAAAACTTAAAAACGACTGTTTTCATAACAGTTCAATTTACCTGGACTTTTCTTCAGACCAAGGAGAAAGCAAAGGAGAAACAAATTCATCAGTAAGCTGGGATTGGCGTCTGCTACTTGTACTGCTGCTTCCAATTACTTCAACAGAACTGGGACTAGTTAGACTATCTCCAATTATTTCAACAGAATCTGATCCAGGTTGTGATCCTAAAAGTTTACAATTGGGGAAAAAATTTGGGCCGGTAGGTCATAGTCGAATGGAACTTGTTCTACCAAACGTTTAATCTGCTACTGCGGCAGACATCTTTAGTGGTATATGTATAATAAAACTGACTCAGTTTTATATACAATATAACACAATAAAACTGACTCAGTTTTAATAAATTGATAGATGTAGCCATTACTACGTGTTAGGAAATCATAATGAAAAGAGAAATGAACATTTCTATGTTTTTTACCACTTTCATTTGTAACTAACGTTACTGCAGTTTCATCCTATACGGACATTGTATATTATTGTATATAATATTGTATACTATTGTATAAGTTTGAAAATGTCCGTATATGACGAAATTACAGTAACATTAGTTACAAATAAAAGTGGTAAAAAACATAGAAATTTTCATTTCTCTTTCATTACTTTGAAAGTGTCCATATAGTACGAAACTGCAGTAATGATAGTTACAAATAAATGTGGTAAAAAAACATAGAAAGTTTCATTTCTTATTTTTTATGATGATCTCTTATCACTTAGTAACGGCTACATCAATCAATTAATTGCTGTATTTGTTAACCTACGAAAAGCATTTGATGTTGTTGATTTCTCTATATTACTTGAAAAATTAAAGAAATGGAAATAAGAGGAAAAGCTCTCTCTTTACTAAAAACATACCTTCTATATCACGAACAATTCACAGTGGTTGATGGCATTTCAAGCCAAACTGAAACTACCAAAGCAGGTGCGACCTAAGGCTCAGTCCTTGGACCCCTACTCTATACATTACATATTCTGTCATTGAAAACTGCTAACATTATAGGTAGATACTTTTGATTTGCAAATGATACTGTTTTTGTATATAAGGGTAAATAATTGAAATAACTCAAAACACTAGTAAATACCAACCTTGGTTTGCAAAAAATAAATCCAGATCAGCGTAAAGAAAACGACTTTTATAATCTTCTCTCAGAAAAAACATGACAACTACACGACATCATAGTGGAGATAGGAGGCAAATAAACAACGAAAGTATATAATACCAAATATTTGGGACTAATAGTCGATGAAAACCTAATTCCAAAGGTTAATGCTCTGTATCGATTTTAGAACCAACTTACACCCATCTCCACTCCATCAAATATACAGTGCATATTTCTTATCAATATTTAGCTATTTAATTCATATATGGGATACATGTGGACAGACATTAATTAAAAAAATAAAAACACTTTAAAACGAAGTCGTGAAAATCTTATTCAGGCTTGACTACAGAACCTCAACTGATCCTTTATACAGTGTAACCAAGACACTGCCTATTCAGAATATTCTAGAAATCGAAATTTGCATACAAGATTATACTCAAACAAGTCAAATGTAATACCAACTTCACATTCGTTAATCAGCTCCACAAATACAATACTCGTACTCATAATAATGTCTTTTTAGAACCTGTACTTACTGATATTAGCTTAAATAATCCCAGTACACTATGCATGAAAACTTTTAATACTCTTTCCAAGAAAATAACAGACAGCCATAATATCAGTATCAATAAGAATAAAATAAAGAGTTTTTATACTAGCATACTCAACGAAGGTACAGCTTAAATCTTTTATTTCTCTGTATCAATTACTATGAGATTTTTATTTTATTTACATTTATATTATATATTCTCAAAATTATAGATAGTATTATTTTGTTGTACTGTAAAAGGTATTATTATATGATATGTTAGTGCTAATTAGGATAACTTTTTTTTGGATAGTGCTGCTATTTCAAATACTATTTAAAATGTTTTTTGTAACCATGATTGTATTATCTGAATAAAGTTCTTAAAAAAAGACTTAAAAATGTTAAGAACAATATTAACAGTTGAATATTGTGTACATCTACAAAACGATATAAATAATATCATTAATTGGTCAAAAAAGAACAAATTGTTATTCAAAAAAAGTAAGTATAACATACAGCTACGATATGCATTGCATAAAACTTAACAGAACTCGAGAAATAACAGACCTTGGTGTTACTTTTGATTATGAATTATCATTTAGATCTCATATACTGAATATAACAAACAAAGCCTCAAAGATGTATGGTTTTATAGTTCGCAATTCTAGACAATTCAACAAGGTTACCTGCATCAAACATTTGTATATCACTCTTATTAGAAGCATTTTGGAATGTGCTTCCATTGTCTGGTGTTCTCAATATGATAGTCACAAGTATATCATTAAAAGAGTTCAAAACAAGTTCCTAAGATATCTTCACTTCAAAGAAACAGGTAACTTTGACCCTGATATTCCCAAAGTAGTGCTACTTGAAAAGTACATACAAATCCTCGAAAAAAAAAGAGTATTTGCTTACTTGAAATATTTGTACAAGACGATACATAGTGATGTGGATAATCCCTGTCTTTTATCAAAAATCAATTTCAATGTACCAGCTTATGAAACTAGATTGTTTCAAACATTTTATATTGAATCGGCAAGAACAAATTATTATCAAAATGCTTCCTTAAATGCTATGTGCAATGCCTTTAATACTGTACAAAATGAGTGTGATATCTTTTTCCATAATCTTGCTAGTTTTACCTTTCCTACTCTGTAACTGGCCATGGCCTGTAGTTTGTATAAATAAATAAATAAAATAGGAAGACACTGCTGTCCTACCTAATACAAAGCATTACCATGTACAACTTCATAGGAAGGCCATTGAAATCTATGAACATTCCAACAATTACATCAGAAAAGAAGAAGGTATACTGGTCAACAGAACGTGGTATACAGTACTTAAAAAAAAACAGAAATCAACTAGAATACAATTCTGATCAACATCCCACCAGTAACATACTTGTCAACAGCGTGAACCAATCAAAACAACCTATCAAAAACGTAGACCAATCAGGAGTGATAATTTGCATGGACACCCCACCAAGTCCTACAAGTATAAATTTAAATGAACATGAAGCTCCCCAGTCGATTGTTGCTTGGACTTCAAAATAAACTCGCAGTCAAAGCTTATACCACCGAAGATGTCTGCAGATAAATGTTGGTACAAGTTCCATTCAAGCACGTTCTACCAGTCTAGATTTTGTTTGTTTTCTCTAATTGTGAATCCGGCCATGAAAGCCTATGTTTATGAATTATTTACAATTCTAAAAAAACTATACAATAATCCAAATTACATTGTGTAACAAGAAACATTTTTTTCTGACAATAACTCTGAATGGATAGATTTAACAACAATAACCAACCTTTGGTAATATATTTACCTAAAGCAGAACTAGAAGTAGATATTGACTGTCCCAGTGACAGCAAATCTGAATCCGGGCTTGTACATTCTGTACTACAAGTTAGGATATCAACACTCTCTGAACTGTTCTTTCCACTTTCGCCACTTATCCCAGAGAGTCTGTTGATTTGGGAGGTTGTTAGCTTATCAGATCTTCTAACTATTAAGGTATCATTTTGGTTATCACCAGCTTCATTTTTTCCATCACCTAAAAATATAATTAGTGGAAAGAATCGTTTAAAAAGTCATGCTCATACAAAGAGCGTTTCTTCAAGTCTCCTGTTCCAATTCAGGGAGTCATCACTTATGATATATTACGCGAAAAATTTCCTATGAATATTTATTGGAAAGGAGATACTGGGCATTGAATGAAAATTTATTTTGGAGTGATTATTTACAATTATTACTCCTAAATATTATCGTCCCAATTTCTGTAATATTTAATTCATCTCTTTTGTTAGTTAACCCTTTTTCTAATTTTGATGGCTTCTCTAATTTGTTTCGCAGAAAAACTGGAAATCTATTTACTCACTTACTCACAGTAAGTTTCAATGAATGTAACAACTGTATTTTTTGCAGATATTTTTCAAATCAACAATGTTCATTCAGACCTCATAGTTTAATTAATTTGATGATCATCGAATAAATCTTTATGACCCTGATAAACGTCAACTTTCCAAAAAATGTGACACTCAATTTTGTCAAAAAAGCACCAATAACCTGAATTGTTCTGATGTTTTATATTTGAAGTGAGTTTTGTTTATTCAAATGAAAATGAAGTGTCAAAGCATCGTTTCCTTTCAAGAGATTATTAAAGCCATAATGAAGATCATTGAATTATCAGCACAAATAGAAATGGAAAAGATACAGCTCGACTTTCTTTATTGAAAAATTCCAAGATGAGGGTAGTGCAAGTCAAGTGGCAGCCTGTAGAAACATTCTATAAATATATATTGATAGTCAACTGAAAGTTTCTGTGGCTGAGTTCAGGTTTCCAAACTTTCTGTCAATAAAAAAAGAAGTCCCCCAAAAGTAGAATTTTGAATTTGGTTATCCCATATTGAAATTAAGAAATATTATAAAACTGATACACCAAAGAATATTCGTCTAAAGATGGAAAACATACTTAAACTTATTTCCACTAAATCAGACAGGTCATCTGAGGAGTTTTTTCCAGCTACTTTTTCTGATTCATCATCTCCATCTTCACTTCTCTGCACCACTAGTTTACTACGACTGAAATGTTCATCGCTGCAGTCAATGGTATCATCTAGACTAGTATTAGATGCTGATTTGACTATATCTTTCTGATTTTCAAAGAAAGAACCCGTAAATGAACCCCAGATACTAGAGCTCATTCTATTTTCCTTAGAAAAGACCTTGCTTTTCAAGTCATTATTTTCGGATTCTGCAACTCCCCAGGTACCAAAAAAATCTTCAGAGTTAATATCAATAGGGGTAGTGGAAGGAGCAATTTGTGCATTATCATCTTTAATATCTAAAGCCTTGTCAATCGTTCTCTGTGCTTCTTTCAGGGCCGACTTTGCAATACTAGCTAGGCCTGTGGCATCAAACCAACTCATTTTGATTCATGGGTTTACTGAAAAACATTGAGGAGTTAAAGTAAATTCATATTGTTAATGATTTACTAAATATGTAAGAATCAGCCACAGCATATAAATATTTCGTCAACTGATATATTTATTTATCCATTCCTTACATATGTTTTGACAGCAGACACATACATCATACATCATCACCATCACAAACTGTTCCGTTTAATACAAATTTGTGCGTTCGATTAGCTCAGTAAGTGTTCGATAATGCAGATCTGTTGTCTCAGTTACATTTGTTCTGTGTTCGGTATTTACAAAACGAGAAAAAAATTGATCTGTTAGCTCCATCGACATAACCGTCGGTGGTTACCTCTGAGGTCAACTTTACTTTAGGATCAGATAGTTTTTTTTAATTGTCATTTGTCATATTTAAAAACAATTGGTTCAGTAGGTATTTTTTGAAAACTCAACTGTTGTGAAATTTTTGACTCTCGTCGGCACATAAAAGAATTCGTGACATGAAAATTGAGATATATAACTTCATATTTGAATTGAAGGGGTTATATTTTTAGGAGTGATTAATTTTTTGGGAAAGAAAGTTTTTGGCTTTCTACTTCAATATAACAAATAAGAAGAATTACCATATAAAATTTCACTTAAATGAAACACTATCATCCCAAAATGCGGAGTTTGGATAATATTACAAGATGAAGCACTTATTTCATTCATCAAGATGATTCATCATTTCCTGACGAGATGATTCATCATCTTGATGATGCTAACTTGGTTAACAAAACGCACGACGTGCGTGAGGGGAAAAGTACGGAAGCCCGGTCACGACATACAATGCTACTGATTCACTGGTACAGATATGTGACGTCACTTGTGGAACGTACAGAGATATTATGTCACATTGGTAGGTATGCGTAATTTGAAATATAATGAATGGCTGGTTTTCTATTACTTTTTTCTATCCATTTATATATGTTAATAGAATAGTAATTAATTTTGAATCAATGATTGTTAGCAATGCGGTGGTTTCGTAACAAATTAATCTAGAAATATTTCACAGAGGGTTACTCTCAGCCTGAAATCGTGTTTTTTTTGTTCTTTCACCATAATTTATGCATTTCTGTTAGGCAGTTACAAAGAATATTGAAAAATTTGAATCTCAAACGAAAAAATGTTGAAGAATCACCCATAGAGGATGTAGTTTTTGGGGTGTTGGAAAAAATTGAAGATGATAGTGAAACCTGCTTAGGATACAAATCGTTATAGAGGAGGTTAAAACTGGTATATGGTATTCAAGTGAAAAGGAATACAGTTTTGGAAATACTAAGGATAACGTAGGAGGCTAAAGCGACGTAAATACATAAATCATGTCATTAGGAAACATCATACATAATTTGTGGCTTGTCACATGCAAGTTTTTTTTTTCCTTATAGTATGTGTGTTCCAGTCTTTGGCCAAAAGGTCTAGTTTACCCCAAAATAATAGAACCAAAACAGTATCTGAGACTTTCTACAATTAGCTGATCACTATCATCATAATTCATACTTTGTTTGAGATCTTTGAAAAAACTTATCCAAGAACTCATACCTTGTCGTAGCATTTGTGACCAGAAGCATTCAATTTGTTGGTTGGAAGTACTCTTTCCTTCAATATGACTGTTGAATCCTGCTAAATTCTCATTGTGATAATACCTTGAATAGTTCTGCAACTATGCTATTTTCTGTTCTTTTGTCTGTTCTCAGCAATGTTGGCACAACTTTCAATTGTCCAATTGTTTCTGAGTAATATGACGCTATATTATCCTAGGATCGTTATTAGGCACTTGAAGCTACTCGTAGCCACAATATTTTTCTGGAAAATCCATCTATAGCTCCGTGGATTGCGTAACCAAATGGCTTCAGTTTGTCATAACCATCCATGTGCCATATAAAATTGGTTCCTGGAACTATGTATTTACGTGACCTTGCCTTAACACCTTCCGGATCAGCTATCCTTAGTATTTCCAAAACAGTATTCCTTTTCACTTGGATACCATATACCAGTTTTAACCTCCTCGATAACGATTTGTATCCTAGGCAGGTTCCACTACCATCTTCAATTTCTTCTAACACCCCAAAAAACACATCCTCGTATGGGTGATTCTTTAACATTTTTTCGTTTCAGATTCAATTTTTTCAATATTCTTTGTAACTGCCTAACAGAAATGCATAAATTATAGTGAAAGAACAAAAAAAAACACGATTTCAGGCTGAGTGTAACCCTCTGTGAAATATTTCTTGATTAAATTGTTACGAAACCACCGCATTGCTAACAATCATTGATTCAAAATTAATTACTATTCTATTAACATATATAAATGGATAGAAAAAAGTAATAGAAAACCAGCCATTCATTATATTTCAAATTATGCATACCAATGTGACATAATATCTCTGTACGTTGCACAAGTGACGTAATATATCTGTACGTTGCACAAGTGACGTAATATCTCTGTACGTTCCACAAGTGACGTCACATGTCTGTACTAGTGTATCAGTAGCATTGTATGTCGTGACCGGGCTTCCGTAGTGAAATGTGATGAATGGATGCATGGATAGAAGAACGGACGGTCTGACAGATGGACGAAGCAATGAAGGGACAGATGGATGGATGGATAAATACACATATATCCCATCGTCGGTATCATCACTTTGTCGTGGTGAGGAGGCTTGCGTGCTAGAAGTAGTTCTTCCCTTGCCGGAGAGTTTGAGAGGGTAAACTCTATACTAAGACCAGACCAGAATTATTTTATGTATTAGACCCCAAATATCAGTATCGATTCTGATTGAGGATGGTGAGGCAGGCTTCACTGGACCGTCATCCAGCGAGTCATCCAGCCATTGCTGTTCTTCTTTAACTGTAACTCTGGAAAAGGCGAGTTTACGGTCTACTAAAGAAAAAAAGTGAACCAAAATAGAAAACCAGTTCAACAAAAAGAGATCTTATGGCGAAAACTTCTCCTAGAACAAGGACTCTCCCACTTCCATATGAACATACATGTAAGAGAGTAGAAATAATTGGGTTACGTTATGAAAACTTTGAAAGATATTAAAATCAAGTGAAACTGCTGGAAAAGGTGAAAAAGGCCGTCTACAAACAATTTTCGGAAAAACCAATGTCGAAAAAAAACTAATATGCAATGCATCAAAAGGTACCGGGATCATCTTGGCTAGTATTGAGAATATAGAATTCGGTGACAAAACTATAAGTAGAACTATACAATCATTGTATGTAAATAGAGATTGATTGCTCCTAATAAAAAAAAGTTGAGGTGGTTGTGTTGTGTCACTTTTTGAGCTTTTCTGCACTGTCAGTGCAGTTATGAAATAGATATACTACTGAATCATTGGCGAGTAGACATTTACTAGCGATGAATCTTACGAACTCCTTTCAGTCTTTGTTAATAATCAGGAACCATGCTCTAGTATAGAATATAACAAATCTCGAAATTTCTGAAATGGAAAATCAGTTAGGGGTAGATATAACAAGAATGATATCATTCTTGCTGGATGACACAAATATACAGCTGATCGTGTAAAAATCGAATGTCATATAGCGGACAATATCTCTTCAAAATCTAAAAGTACAGAAACTAGGAAAACCAAATATACATCTGACATCGGTTGTAACTATCAGGAAAATAGATAAACAAAAAGATGCCCTGCTAGTCCAAATGAAAGAAACATTTTCTGTAGATTTATTGAAAACAATTAAATCATCAGTGAACCTCGACGAAATAGGAGCTGATAAAGAGGAAATTAGGAGCACGAAGAAAGGTACAACAAGGTAATTCTTATAGTTCAAAATGGAAGAAACAACGCAGGACACTCGTGGAGAATTTCTCTGGGACTACGACACTCTAATACTTTCCTAAATTTGAAAAGCTGTTGATTTCACCGTTTTTTAATTGATATTTTCAGTAATCTTCCGTTGAATAGTCACAAGCAACGAGAATTCTTTTTTTTAAAGTCATTACTTACTTCTTATCACTTGTTTAAATCTGTTTAAATCTGTATTTCCGTTAATCAGCTGTCGCCCCCATACGAACGACAACTCTCAGGAGTTGAGAAACTTGTGCGAGCTAAGGACCAACAAGGTCTTACCTTTTAACGTGTGATTCCTAACACGGTTGCAGAATCATCCCAGCTTCAACCAGATAAATTCTCTCTAGAAAAATATCTGGTCGTGGCAGGAATTAAACCCACGGTCTTCCGATCGTGAGTCGGGCGCACTACCACCGCGGCCAATTCCATAACTTGTACTGCATTACTTTGGACCATTTGATTACATGCAACAAACTTCTCTTATTACTAATCTGATTGAGTTAATGTCTGCCGCCTGAATACGTGCATCGCATTCTTATATATTATGTACTGTTGCCGCCGTGATATAATTAATATCGCTTACGTGTATTAAAACAGTTTGAGGTATTTAAGGTGCCACCTAGAGTAAAACATATCCTGAAAGACACAGGAAGGGTGATTATCGAATAACCGAAGACTGGCAAATTGCTCTAAATAGCAGAACCGTATACAAGAAACCTATTTTTTACATTAATTATCTGATATACGTGTTATCTCTCATTAATTATTAGTCTCATTAAACCAAAGATGAATAGATTTTATGCATCTTCAATATTACCATAGGTACTATAACTATTGAACCGGCCGTCCCGTGTGTCCTACTTGATACTTTGCAGGTTATATTAGAGAGAGACCGAGAATGGTGATATGAGGAACAGACTCAGGTTTGTTCTGGTTCTAACATCTCAAAACGTTTGAAAACTGCGCAAGACATGGTGCGTACAAACAAAACAGTCCGAAATAGTCTCGGACACTTGTTTAAACCAGAACGCTTTTGAGGAGACCATTGTGCCACCTATCTTATATATATCGAGATGATTTGGTTTATTCAGAACCGTTCTAGTATCGTTCACAAAGTGTTTTGGTTTTCTCCGAACCGATTCGGAACTATGTCAGAACGGTAATTATTAGTTCGTACATTTGAATAGAACTTCGAATTTGCTCTTGCGCACAAATAAAATTTTTCATTTGCTTTGGATTTTGGTAGTAACGTTTTCTTAATCTCATTTTTATCCGTATTTTAGTTGGTTTAGTTGGTGTTTCATTTGCTATTTTATCTACAATACTGTTCGTCTTCGGTAAAACAAAGGAACCCGGAGAGTTCACTGCGACCTGTAAATAAGACAAAATTATATATCAACATTATTCTTATACCATAACAGATAGTCGTGATATGTATGTAGCAATAATAATAATAATCATTATTATTATCACACATGTTTTTGTCAAACTCATTAGTATAAGATTACAAAGAGAGGACAATATATTGCAGAANTTTTGTACTATACCACACCAAACGTTAACTTTTTCGGAATATTGACTTTTACAATTTATGATCCAGTGCGGATTTTCCGTAGCCCAATACCGAGCATTTTGCGATGAAACTACCCCATTGGTGCTGAAAGAAGCTTCATCACTAAACATTATGCAGTTTAAAAAATTTCTTGTATTCAGGTACTCGCCTTGTGCCCACAAACAAAATTCCATACGTTTCACTTCATCACCTGCCTTTAAAGAGTGAAGAAATTTAGGTTTAAATGCTCTCATTTTGTTTTGTTTAAGACATCGTCGAATAGTCTCTCTCGGTAAGTTTAAATCCAAACTGGCGACTCGTAAACTTCTGTTTGGGTGGTTTGGATAACCGGAGATAACGTCTTAGTTAATTCCTTTTACTCTCATTTTTTCAAAAACATCATCACACTTTAATCATATATTTGCTTAACTTTTTCACTCTTGTCTTTAAACTTAACTCAAAAGTCCAATGATCATTATACCAGAGTAGAGGTACCTAACCACAAATCTTTGTTTATACACTTGTCAGAATCATTTTTTTATATGTTTTGGTTTTTTACTTGTTGGGACCGTTCCAGAACTGTTCTGTGACTGTGATTTTCTGCGCATTGATTCGGCGTCGATACGGGACGGTTCGATAACAGTTCTAAACACAGAACCAAAACAAACCTTATTATTCCATCTTTCACAATATTTCTCTTCATCGTATTTATTAGGGAGCCACTCAATTGATTTTTTTTTGTATTATACATGTTGTGGTTTTGTAAACTGTCTAGTGGAAATTTCACAATAAAATGATACTTGAATAATCTTTTCTTTGACTTTGTATTCCGCCCTTCATTATCTAAAAGGGGGAATCGTTGCATTCAGCTGTTTACCGTTTGAGATCACCATTTATCAAACACTCTCATGTTAAGAAATGTTTCCCCAACATATATTTGAATGTTCTGTTAGATGTCGACTTCCTAGTTCTTCTGAATAAATCACAGCCAAAATTTTGAATACTAAAGAACTGAAATTTTGCGCTAACGAATTATAGGTACCTATAATTTTAAGAAGTATCACCGAAAGAAAATGCTCTGTTAATGTTATTTTACATAGGGTCAAAACATTTTTCTATCTATAGTAGTATTCGGAAATATTAACACAACGCTCTAGTGGCGCAATTGGTTAGCGCACGGTACTTATAGGACAGTAGTCGTGAGCAATGCCGGGGTTGTGAGTTCGAGCCTCACCTAGAGCATTTTTTTATATTTAGAAGAAATATTTTTGGAAGGGTTTAATGTTTTAGGACAAAACTTGTTTGTCATTTCAGTTTATGAAACATTGTTTTGCCATTGCATATCAATATATGAATGTTTATAATATTTGATGCTTGTATTATTATAAAAGGGGTGATTTCGTGCAGTGAATAAACAAAATATCTATTTAATGGTTTTAGATAGAACAGAGAAGCGTTGATAAAATTGAAGATTAATTCAATAAAAATTACATAGGTAATTGGATTATTTAAAATAAACTCATTAGGTCTTTCCCACTTTGACTTCAAATTATATTGATTGAAGGTTTCCTTTAAACAATGAATGTTTTGGGACCATTGCCATAATTTGCATAAACATTTCTTCATTTGATTTCTTTTAAGCAAGGAGCTTTAAGTCAGTTGTTTTTTGATGACATCGTGATATTATTTGACCATAATATCACGATGACGGTCGTTAAAAAAGTTAGATCTGAGAAATATGATTTTACCACTAAAATGAAGTACCTACTTTCATTAATTTTTATGTGACGAAAGATTGATGATAATTCATTTAACAATTTATGATGAAATTTTGTGTCTTTTCACCTAATTGTACAGTTACTTTTACGCCTTTATTGACTTCTTCATTAGAATCAGTACTCTAATCCTCTTTAGTTTCTGATTATTACAAGATATCACATCTAAAACACTGACAGTTTCCTCATAGTATTTGTTATTGTAATCAAAAACTTAATTTCAGCCCAATCAAATGTATCGTCATTCGAATACCACCAATATTTTTGCAATATACTTCTAATGGGACTGTTTTCATTTATTTTTTTAGTAATTGTTATGAGAATACCTTCTCCTTTTATATATAATTATTAGTTGTTCTTTACCTTTACCCCGCCTGTGTATTAATTCAACTTTGATTTTCTTGAAAAAGTCATGATGCATCTCTACATATGGCTTTTGAATCACCTGAGTGACAACTGAAACACCTTTTCATCATTATTATACTCACTCGTTCTTAGAAGCTTTCAAATTGAGTATTGTTAATTTAACTTTTTTGTCACATTTAGGTGGGACAGTAGCCTGGAGGGTTGACGTAGGTGATTACCTCCACTCACTCAATCGACCACTGTGTGAACCGGTGGTTCGAACCGCAAGGCCGGACGATCGATTTTCACTTCCTATCGTTCAACTCGTGTTAGGTTGGCATTATACTAGCACAAAATAATTTTTTATATCAGATTTAAATTTTTGAATAATAAATTAATATTAAGTAAATAACACTGTTTTACATGTGAATAGTTTGTTTTGTCCCTACTACTTGTGCTGCCTCTCGTGACACGTTTCTCAGGAAAAAGGCTCATTGATTGTTATATGTTTCTAAGCATCAATATTTCAGATTATTCAAATTATACCTTAATAACACTTCATGCTTCACAATATTTAATTACCAAATTTGAAATCAATCTGCATGTAACATATATCAATCAAATAAGAATAATTTAAACTGATGAAATGAGATATAAAAACAAGCCTTCTTTCCTCCTCAAAAATAAAAAAAAGTGTATTCATTAACATATATTTAAAAATTATCAGAACTTATAATACCTACTACATATACACATCATATAAATAAGAGTAGTTTCTTGACCCTATTTGTTTTAAACAGTATTGGTTGGCTGGCTCAAAGGATTTGCTTGTGAAGTTTGATTTTGACGAGTAACAATGGAAACAGCATTCTGGATAACTTGTTTTCGAAAAAAATCTGAAGTTATAGTACCTATGCTCTCTTTATTACCCACTTTACACTTGATGTATCCATAAAGATTTGATCCGTTCAAAACCAGTGCAATGGTGACCAGTAGCTAAAAAAATAGAATTCAAATAAAATTGACAATCGAAAGTAATATATTTTGTAGCTTGAATTTATTTATTCACACAATGAGTCTATATAACAAACAAATATATATTAAGATAGACTTGTCCTTTCTGTTATTGAAAATATGATTCCGAAAATTATAGAATTGGTAAAATTCCAAACAAATGCAATTTGGCCAATAAGTAAATTTTTTTGCATTGCTTTTTTTTGCGGGAGGTAAAATATAGTTTCCAGATTCTGCCAAATGTTAGAGGCTAATATAAAAAAATAGATATCATATTCAGATTACACAACCCCAACAAAATATATTTTGAAAATCAATTGTGGAAGTAAGAGTGTGTTTTAACTTAACGGGTAGAAAAAATTGGAGACGAAGAATGATCGGAAAGGCCAGTTTCTGTAACCACTCACATTAATATCAATATAAAACATTTTGGGGATTGATGCACCTGAGGCAATAAGTGTTCATTTATTTCATTTATTTTTCAGCCCTCATTTTTTTGAATTCATGGACATTCTCAGTCTTTATTGACAAAATCAAAAATGGAAATGAAATTTCCTTCAAAATTAACTCAAGTTCCTTATGTTAATTCAACAATAAGTGTCAATTATGTCTACGATCTCTTATGGATGTTTATGGCAGATCGACTAAGAATATTATTTTTCCTTAATATCTGAGAAATGTTTTATGAAAAAACACGTGTTAGAAATCACACGTTAAAAAGTAAGACCTCGTTAATCCTTAGCTCGCAGAAGTTTCGACTTCTGAGGTTTGTCGTTCGTAGGGGTGCGGCAGCTGGTTAACGAAAAAACAGATATAAAACTAAGAACTTTGTACTATCGAGATGTATGTATGTATGTATGTATGTATATATATATATATATATATTTCATCATTATTATAATCACTCGTTCTTAGAAGCTTTCAAATTGAGTATTGTTAATTTCACTTTTTTGCCACATTTAGGTGGGACAGTAGCCTGGAGGGTTGACGTAGGTGATTAGCTCCACTCACTCAATCGACCACTGTGTGAACCGGTGGTTCGAACCGCAAGGCCGGACGATCGATTTTCACTTCCTATCGTTCAACTCGTGTTAGGAATCACACGTTAAAAGATAAGACCTCAGCTCGCACAAGTTTCGACTTTTGAGAGTTGTCATTCGTAGGGGAGACGACAGGTTAATGGAAGAACAGATTTAACATTATGTCAGTTGAGTTCCCCAAAATCATCAAACAAATATTTGATATGAGAAAAGTAGAAGCGACAGACAGCGCCTCAAGAAGATTCAGAGTTCTTTGATAATCACTGCAAAGTGGTATAGTGGTGGATTAAATAAGTGAAATATTGTGACAATTTGTGCTAAGTAGAATATTTTACTTGAGAAGTAAATTGAAACTATATTATGAATAACTATATTGAATGTTACTTATTTATGAACCCACAAAAAACCCAGCAGTACTATTCCAGACCATCTTAATAGAATAGATATTCAGTGTCAGTTGATATTACACAATACTTATGAGAAATTCATATAGACCATCGACTCCCAAGATCCAAGCATTTCATTGTTAAAATGAAATTTTTTATTTTTATTTTGAATAAACTATTTGAATGATTCTCAATAATGAGCCTTTTTCCTGAAGTACGAAAAATCACTCACTAGCAGCACTAGAAGTTCGGTAGGGACAAACACTGCCTTACTGCTTAATCACAGTATACTTATATAAGTAAACTGTGGCCTAATCCTCATATAAACATAATATGGTAAAGTACAATTAAAAAATAATGTTTTTAAGAGAATATGTTCCTGGAGCAAAACTAAAATTTGGAACAGTAAAGGATAACAATGTTGTAACATTAAAACGTTGGCTTGCATGCCGTAATTTAAAAGTAACTGGAAAAAAGTTATGTTATTACTTATCAAATTTCACC